GAAGAAAGGAGACTGACATAGCAAGGTAATAAAAAAAAATCCACAGTTGTGTTTTCCCCTATAACATTGGACTGCATTACATATTATGTAACAGGACTTAAGCCCTGCAGCGCTTATCAAGCCCTCCGTTAAAGCGATGTGGGACTAGCATGTGCCGCCTGGTGCTACACTGTGAACAAGCTTAAGTTTTAAGCCTTTTTTGTATACTGTTTAATAGTTTAATTGCCCTCAATGCATTGAATTGCCTGAATTTTAGTATAATACTAACTTTTTGGACTACAACAGTGTTGCGGTTTTTTTCTCCCACTATCAAGCATCGTAATGACGAAGATTCCTTATCTGGTGCTTTATGGTTCTTTTGGTAACTAGTGCCTGATCAATGTTGGATAAGCATTTGATAACAGGTTGATTATTTAATTGGTTATCAATCTTTTACTAATGGCACATTTCTGATGGCCAGTCAATACACTGCTTTCACACCAGCAAAGGGAGAAACAAGCCCACGATAGCAATATGCTCAGAAAGTATACATTCCATCAACACATTTGTCTCCCTTAACTGTACAGTTGTTTTTCTGCAAAGGTCTGTTTTTGTATTTAATGAGCTGTCACTGAGTTAAAGCTCCATATTGACTCGTAGGGGAAGCTGCCAAGACGCAGCAAACCTATTTTTTTCTTATGACAAACCACACTGTTATAATGACTTCTTCGATGACACACTTAGTGTCCCTGATTTTATTACCTCTGCCAGGTGGTAATGTTTTCATCAGGGTCTGTTGGTCTCTCTGTGTGCCCATTAGCAACATAAATAATTTAAATTTTTTCGAATGGGACAAGGATCAAACTATTTTTTTTGGAGGTGATCCGGATCAAAGAATGGCGGACCTCTTGCTGGAGATCTACAAGTACTTTTCTAGTTTTAGATTGTGTGTGTAACTTCTTTTTGCATTGTTTGAATTTTAAACAATACTGTTCATGGAGCAGGTTCACTGGTTGTTTGTTTGTTTCTGCTCTAGAAAACACAAATAACAAGGTTGGAGCACCCACAGCAGCAACATTGTCATGAACGCTTATCAACTGTGGAATTTACAAGTATGTTTTACCGCGGCTTCCAGGTTGACAAGCACAAATACTCACCCACACAGCACCACACATAGTGACGTACATCTTTGGTGCCCTGCAGAAAGTCTTTTATTGATCCCTTCATTGACTCATACTATGTTTTTGCTGTTGAGCTAATGATGCGAGAGAAGGAGTAAATCCTGGTATCTCAAATGGTGGTACATGTATCAATGGTGGTACACATTTTCTTCTGGATTTCAATATTTGCATTTTCATATCATATATATCTGTCAGTCTTTGACAACATCTGACTGATGCCCTTTATGACAAACCAAAAATAAAACCATACAAACCAAAGCCATAATAGATGCTGTAGTTGGTTGTTGCATACTAGAGCATGTACAGCCATGCACTGTGGATCACCAACGTCAACTAACGTCAATTCTTTCTGATTTGCCCTTCCAAAAATGGAAGGGCTACAAAAGCAAAAGACACGGGCTTGAAATAAAACTAGACTGGCCCGAGAGGCTCTCGTCAAATTCGTCTTAAATTCCTTTTAACATTTAAGTGGAATTCTTTTGTTCCTGATAGCTGTTATTTCATATATATTTTCATCGTTGGCTCATATAATTATTGAGAATAATCATTGTAATCAGTAAATGGCGTCTCCTTGAACTGTCCAGTTCAAGTCCTGGTCAAGAGGCTGTGTGGTTCAAATGTAATGGAAATGTAATGGTTCTACAAGGGCAGTAGTAAATGGTTTATGTTTTGAGCACATGATAAGTATTCGATGGGATAATGTTCTTGGTAGATTCAATGCTGTTTTCTCTCACACAACTTGCATCAGACATCCATTGCTTTTCATTGTAAGCTTCTCTTCCTTGCATCCTCATTTTGCGTTCTCGCTGTCTGTCTCACTGCGACACAGTGAGGCGCAGACCTTTCTGTTTCACCTAAACCTTCCACCGTTCATCGTATCCAAATTTCCCCAAAATGTAGCGTGTGTTGTTTGATGAATGCCAAGGATTTTCTGCCATATTGTGTGCTCTCTCCAGACTCCAACGAGGTTCCCCCAGTCTCTTTCCCTCTCCGCTCTCATGTGTCTGCTTCTACAGTGGCTGTCGTTCTTAATTGCCATTGCCCCTCGTCTGCTTTCATCCTCCGCCCAGACCTCCCCCCTGCGTCTCTGGCAGAAAAAGACAGGCATCAGACAGACCGCCTCCTGCCTGTGTACATCAAGCCGCCTCTTGTGCACGTCTGTGTTTTAATGTGAGAGAGAGCATGTGCAGCATGAGCTCCCCTCATTCCTGTACAGCATGTTCCAGTTCTTATTCCTTTGACTCCATATTCCCTTCATAAAAATGTTGCATACAGCCAATAATAGCCTCTGCCAGCCCACTGATATGGAAAAAAATGTATGACAAACAAAGTGGATTTTTTTTTCCCCTGTCATTTTTGTGATATGGAAACTTGTAAGTTGTAACGTTCTAATTAACTTAATTAAATCTACTATTCCAGCCGCAACTAGTGACCAGCCAGATTCATTGTACTAATCCTAATTCACCTGCACATAGGAAATAAAATATACTGTACTGAAGGCGTCAGAGAAAAGCAGTTTTATGAAGTGTTTTAAAAACTCATGTAAACTTTGTATAGGTTGATTACATTAACTCTGATTTGTTATTGTAATGTGAGAAAGAAAAAACATGACATGTCCGCGTAGGCCATGAACCTTGCAGTGTTCGCACCTAATTGCTGTGAGTGTGCTGATGCTGAAGCGTCTTGTCATCAGTGGAGAGGATGCTTGTGTCAGCAAAGGTCACAGAGTCTGGTGTGTATACAATAGAGGGCTCTAACTTTTGGCAGGGTCCATTTTCAGGATTTAAATGTTAACTTAATGTTACCATGAATTGAGCTAACATTAGCAAGTGCACACGTGTGTGTGTGTGTGTGTGTTGTTGTTGGTTGTCAGGGCCGACCTAATTCTACCAACCTTCATTTCCTGTCGTCTCCAGTGACATACATTTGCAACCAGAGAAGTACGCTGTCATGTGAGTAAAAGCACAGCTGAGACAATGAAGCACGGTACAGAAGATTATCCACCATGCCTTTTATGTTGTAAACTAATATATTTATGAGGAATTTCAGCTCTATTTGTAATATTTATGAGAATTATACATATTACTTACTGCCAGCTTTTCTATTAAAAAAAACTCCTGAACTCCTGAAGCAGCACACAACGGTGCTTTAGATTCATAATGTAAAATGTAGGGCTGCACAATTTAAATGTGCCAAATAAATAGGACTGAGTTAGGCTATAAACATAACACAAAAGTATGTAATAGTAATGATTTTATTAGACTAAGAAATAAGACTACTCGTCTATTTAAGCAGATATGGTATAATTTAAGCAGATTTGATTAACTGCAATGTGCTTATTGCCTACGAGTGTGTCAGGTGAAAAGGGTTTTAAAACTAGTCACACAAGGGAATAATGACAGTATAACAAGCCATGGACCTGTTTAAAGCTCTTACCATTAAACGTTAAAAAAAAAATTTACATTATAAATTTGTCCTTTTAAAAAGAAAAGTAAGGCAAGGCAAGTTTATTTGTATAGCACAATTCATACACAAGGCAACTCAAAGTGCTGAACAAAACAAGAAAGTATTAAAATCATAAATAATCACAGAACATTAAAAAGAAAGATAAAAATATAAAATCCCTCATTTGTATGCACATCTAAACAGGACTGTTTTTAACCTGGTTTTTTACATTGTACATAAACCTGCTGTAGTTCATTATAATGACTTTCTCTGGTGCTGGATATACTTTAGCAGTGACTTTGACTTAAAGTCGTATGTGGAAATTTGTTTTGACTTTATTTTGACGCATTCCTGGCTTCCCTGCGAAAAGCTGATGCGTTCACATGTTGGGTCCTGTGTCAACACACTGTTTGGTCCTGGGTTTAAATGAAGGGTCTACAGTATGAAAAAGCCTATTGGTTTGATGATTGACAGCTGGCTCGCTCCATCAGTGGGGCAGCACAGTTGGGGGTGAGCCTTCTTTTATTCTGCTGTCATAAGATGTTGCATTTCATGAAGGCATTTGTCTACGTTGTAATTGGCAAATTTACATTTTTAATGTATGTTGCCAATGAAGTGCCCACTGAAAGACCAAGGCCGCATTTGTGTCGAAAGAGCAGCCATCTCCCTGTGGACCCACCACCTGCAGGAGGATCAGCGAGGGACTGGTGCTGTGTGAATTGGGTGGCAGGTCTGATTGCCACCCCCCTGACCCAGAAATAGAAAATAAAGGGATGTAAATGAATGAATGAATGAATGTATGTTGCTAAAAGTGGTTGTCCAGTCTGTGACTGGCTCATGTCTTGGATTTTATCTTTACATGAAAAAAAGAAAATGCTGTTTCATATTTTAAAGTGATAATGGATAAAAATGTATTGCACTTGGCTCAGTCCTTTTAGTTGTTTGTAGTGGAATGGAAGTTTATGTTCACTGTGTTGGAAATGTGGTCTGGATGTAGGGTTGGTCAGTACCTTGTTTTCGGTACAAATACTTATATCCGCTTTTTCGATACCAGTTAGTAATATATATTTGTCAAAACGTGTGTTATATTGTTCATAGTATTAGTCTGCATTGGTGGCTTTGCTTGTAAATTGCTTATTTAATAATATATTACTACTGGGGTAGGTTCATTAGGATATGCTGAGGACATTGTATGCAAATCGGGCAGAAGTGCGTTGAGGCAAAAAATATGCTACAATTGGGTCTGTACAAAACGCAGAAAAATGTCCTGATGCCTTTTTCCACTTTATTTAACATTCTTTTTTTTATAATTCACAGTGAATCCCATGAGTAAGTTGTTACTTCTTTTTTTTTGCAGCTGAAAGAAGCTAACAAGAGAAGAAAGAGCATCGTTTGATGGAAGAAAAGAAAAGGAAAAAAGACGAAACACTCAAAGACAACTCTCACAAAAAGGTATTTTCCCTTTTATTTTTTTGCCATTTTATTTCCCTTCTAAAGATGTTTTTTTCTGTTCCGATATTTATTTAAGACTTAGTCCTTAACATTGACATTTCTTGCTGAAACACCGTTTTTGTTCCTTCCCATGCAGGCCTCTGGTCAGAAAGCCAAAGGTGAGTGTGATAATGCAGTAAAGTGCACCCGCCCTCATTGGCCCCATTACTTCCAGACACTGTATCTCTCATATGCATTAATCAACCGTGATTAGCGCACACTGACCCATAAAGCCATACGTATGCACATTATGTATGCATTACCAACCCATATTGTCAGGCATCTGCAGATAGACTAGTTGAATGTGCACAGGCTCTACAACTGTGCTCGACACCAAAACATGAACATACTATACTTGAAGTGTGAGGCCGAGTGACACCCACTTCACCCACGGTCGAGCAGTCAGGCGTGAGGGTGCGCAGGCAATTCCAGCCCTGCTGTAGTGGGGGGTGGCATTGGCTGCCGGCGAGAGAAGTGAAAATGTAAAAGGAGACTGACTGTCCTTGTGTGGCCTTTTAGCATATTCAAGGACTGGAAGATTCCCCTCTAAAAATACATTTGAACTGCCTTGTCGAAGCTTTCATTTAATTTGTTTGTAATTTACTTGTAGACGGTATAATAGAGGGTATTGTAATTTGAGGCGTTCCCTGGTTTGCAAATTGGTTTTCACAATTTTTTTGGTATGTTGGTTATATATATTAAAAACAAATCCAGTCTTATAATATTCATCCCCATTTGTCTGTTTTTCTCTCTCTTTTATGATCATCATTTATAGTTGTCATACTTTCTTACTAATTGAATAGTTTATATTGCGGAGTAAATGAAATGCTACAATGCTGTAGTGCCCTTAATATAGAGATAGAATTGGATGAAAGTTGGACTGCACAGCAGCTTTACTAACACTGTAAATACAGTGAGACACATTTTTATTCCTTGTATCTTGGCCTTACTTACATGCGAAAACCAGATCCCGTCCGACCTCTACAGCTGCGCAGGGCGAGGCCTGGTTAGTACTGTGATGGGAGACCTCTGGGAACACCAGGTGCCACAGTGGGGCGGCTGCAGCTATAAAGTGCCAAACTCTCATTGTGTCCTTAGGCAAGACACTTCACCCACATTACATAGAATGAGTCTGGTGTGTGTGTGAATGGTTGGTGGTGGTCAGAGGGGCCGATAGCACATACTGGTTGCCTCACTTCTGTCAGTGTGCCTTAGGGCAGCTGTGGCTACAGTAGTAGTTTAACACCACCGTGTATGGAGTTAAAGAATAATGACATGTGAAGCGTCTTTGAGAGTCCTGAAAAGCACCATATAAAAAATAAAAACGATGAATCTTAGTATACAGCCAAGTGAGAAGTAGTATATTTTAAATAATTATGTTGTTGACTTGTGTTTACGAACTGTTGTTTCTTTAACAATTACACAAATTCCCCAAAACCGAGTGGCCTTTTAGAAATGTACATCTAGTGCAGGAGTATTGTGTGGGCTGTTCTGAACAAGGCTATAGTGACTATGATCACTGTATGCAAGAGGTTTGCAGTCTTTTGGCAGGAGAACTGTAGGAACTGCTGACAGTCGCAACTGGAACACAGGGGCCCATGCTCAGGGGCAGAACTGAGGCACGGAAGCGAGTCAAAAGAAAGAAGAATGAGGAAGTGGTTTATAAAAATCTAATAGGAAGAAAGTGAAGGGAGGTGAGAAAGTAATGAAGCAGTGGTGCTATAGACTAGTGCCAAGAATGACTGTCGGGAGTCAATGACATTGCTAATATGGAAGAGGGCTAATGAAATGGGCATTTATTTTATGGTATGTTTAATGGCATTTAGAGGGAGCAAAAGATGGGGAATGGGAAACTGATTGTGTATGCGTATGGACAGACTGATAAAGAATATAGAGGAAAAGGGTTTCTCAGTTTGAGGACTAATCGTTCAGTAAGCCATCAGGACCTCGGTGAGTTTACTTATAACCTCCCATCTGCATTATCTCAGCCAGCGATACTGCATCAACGGGAATGAGTTGAGTTTTCATGCGTGACACTAAATAATGGAGGTGGGCACATGTGTGTCTATGCAGGAAATCAGTATGCAGGAGTGATTTGTGTCTTTTCATCCATATCACTGAATTCTGCCGCTCTTATACACTGAGAAATTCATAGACACACACACATGCACCCTGCCAACCCCCACACGTTGGCTGTTTTCCTCTCTGCCGGCCTGCCTGGTCCCGAGCATTTCAATTTGTTGGCGGTAATCGATCTCGGCCTTGTGCGTTCATATGTATGAAAATGAGATAAAGCTTTGGCGAGGTAGAATTAACTGCTCTGCCCCCCATTAGACATAGAGTTCGATAGAAGACTGGGTTTCAGGAGACAAACCGCACGCCCTCCCCCCACCCAATAGAGATATATATATATATGCAGGCATTCAGAGTGGACCTCCCATTCTCTTGCCCAGACCCCATTAGCTCCAAGGGATGCTGATTATTCTTTCTCACCACATACAAGCTTCATCACCATCTCTGCTGTGGCCTCAATCATAATCTGTCCATTTCCTGCAATGCACATCGGTGTTTAAAAATGATGATGATGTGTGAAGAAAAATTCTCGACGGATTACAAAGATAAACAGTAATATTGTTTAGTATTGCTTATACATACCATCTTATACCATACTACCTTCTGGCCATCCTACTCAAATTTGTTTGTATCTTTGCTAAATGTAATACTTATCTGTAACTCTGAACCATACCTTCACAACATTTTCGACATATGCAAAGGGTGAAATGCATTAATGTATTGTCACCACAGAGATAACGGCATTGTTTTTTTCAAAGAAGCACAAGACGCACACAAACATGAGCATGCTGTACAATTCCACATAGAATTAATTTGCAATTTCACATGCTATTAATTGTGTCAACACTTTAGAAAACGATTTTCATGAATCCGCAATCTACAGTAATTAGAGGCTAATTTACTTTAGCATTGGTGCTGCTTCTCTCTTGTGTTAACCACATTTACAAACACTCAATGAATTACCAGTGAATCGCCTCTGAATTACTGCGTGTGGATTTATGACTTAGGATCTAATTGTTTTTCCCTCTACTCCATCGCTCCATCCACCTTGTGTGGAGTGTGTGCGCGAGGGTGCCAGATGGAGAGAGGCAACATAAGGAATGCATAAACTTGAACAATGATTTGCTCCCCTTGTTCTCCTGTCCCACACAGACATTGTGACTGGAGAGCCCATTTTCTTCGATGTGCCCCTCCTCCATAGTCACAGCGAGTTGAATTCAAATAAATCAAAATATGTGGTAGATTAATTGGAAGCGCTCTGCTCATATAAATGATGGTTCAGTCTGTGCTGTAATTGTGAGGTGTATGGCATTGATCATAAGCTTGTAAAGCCTTGGCATGTTAAAGATTGCACCTATAGGCTGTGTCTGGTACCCTATTCTTTATAGGTGCTAACCCTAACCCAAATATTGATTGTAATTTGAAATGTATGTTCCAGAAAATGTTTTATTGTTGCAATTACAAAATGTCAGTATCGTAGAATGTTTGTGCTTGTTACATGGAAAGATTTATTTTCCAGTGACATTGCACACAGAAGAAATTTAATGCCAGGAATTACTGGTCAGAAATCTAGTTTGTTCCAGTTGGATGGGGGGATGACAAAAAAGGTCTATGCCAGAATAATAGATTTAACATACAGACACACACACACATGTGATCACAGTCTGTATCTTAAACATTTAAGACGTTTTCCTCTGTGATATCAGAAGTTCTGTATCCTCAGGAAATCGTTTGCTATAGGATCTATACCCGCAGTGTTGATGGCCATGAGGGGCTCAAATTCGCACTCCTGTGGTAATCCTAATGTGGCAGGAGGTATTGCAGTGATTAACAGGGAGAATTGGGAGTGAAAAGGAAGGCTGGCACCGGGTGAGGGGGCTGGGGGCACTAATTAGTTGCCGCAAGGGGGTGGGAGGTTCGCCATGGGAAAGGTCATGGGAGGCGCAGGGGTCACCGGAGGCAAATGTGCGACGCGTTTGGCAACTGGCAGTCTCTATAGCAACGGGGGGGGCATTTGTGTCTAATGCAAAGGGGCAAAGTGTCCAAAAGAACCAGCAGATGGTGCTACATATAGCAGACATTTGACCCTCTGTAATTCAAAAGCCTCACCTTGACCTTTGTGACTTCCTTCGCATCCCACCCTTGAACATTTAAATGTCCTTGTGGTCTGTGCATGAATTTATCCCTTACATATCCTCCCTCTTTTATAAACACGGCTGCATATTAAATCAGAGGCAGACAATGGACAACTTTCATATCCCGGCACCAGGATGACTGCAAGAACCAATTAGAGATGTTCACTACCCCCAGTATTGTGCATTTCCAACCTCACTGTCTGAGTCTGCTCACACTGCTCCATCTCTGCATGTTTCCATTCTTCAGCTATTGCTCTGTTTAATTTTGTTGGGTCTAATTATCCATTTAATGTGAAGAGGGTATATAATTAAAAGTTTAGTGCAATGATGTCTAAAGTTGGTTTAATGAAATGTTCAATTTGATTAACCTTCATAAGCAATTAATGCCAAAAGAGTTCAGGAACACAGTATTCAAAACTAACACTATTCTCCTTCAAAACTCAGTTAATATATATAGTCTATATAATGCTGATTTCTCTTTTCTGTAAACAACAAATCAGCTTCACGATGAGACAAGAATGTGATGGCATTTAGGGATGTCACGCAATTATTTTAGTATTTTTCTAGTTAGCAATTTTTTTGAACAGACAACGACCAATTTGTGTTAAACAAATGTACTGTATGTGTATATAGTCCTAGTAAAAAATAAAACCTAGTATTATCTATTTGTCATATTTAAAATGTAACGGGACCGTGAAAGACAAGATGCAAAACTTCAGGCGATGTGATGGAAGGTTTCACCTTTTCATTGATTGTTCTCTATCAGAGGTGATTCTGCACACTTTTGTCTTAGGTATTTCTTATCCACAATTAAGGTCGGGTTGTACTCTGCTGTGTGATGATGCATTTGACTGTACAACATTTTATGACACTTTCTCTGAGGGATGTCATAGGATCTGCAGTGCAACATCCAGTTAGATGCCTCGCTCTGGGCATCCTCTGTTCTCTGTTCCTCTTGAGTGCGGATCCAAAAGATTGGTACCACTAGGAAACAGATTTTGCGTGCCACCTTTTGGTGCCTTGACATCAACAGCCCAGGTGCTCACAACTGAGCTCTAACGGCACCCATTGTTTGATATAGGTGTTATAACACCAATGATAAGATATTCAAGTACTATATTTATTGTCAATTAAAGTTCCAAAGTTGGAGTAATAAGATAGGAGAGGAAAGTGCCACTAAAGCCCCTTCTTCCATGTAGAGGGCAAAGACCCAGCCCCAGAGAACAAAGATGGCAGTCCATTCAAGTCATTGGCCTGTGCTCATTGGCGTGTGCTCACACCATGGGCATGTCAAATAATAGCGGACACATTTAGGCTAGAAACTTTATTTTAACACAATGAAGAAACATTTAAACAAAACTTGAATTGATAATTCTTATAATTTTCCCAACCCATATATAATATATATATTGTTATTCCTTTTCCATTTGTAACTGCTGTGAACTCCGACACTAACCACTTGGCTCCGTATGTGCTTGTGCTCCTGTGTCCTTCCAGTGCCGGAGTCTGCTCCCTCTAGTACCAGTCCCGGTTTACCCCGACACCATCTCCACCCAACCAGCCTTGCAACTTTTTCCTCCTCGTCGCCTCCTTCTGGCGATGGCAAGTCTGCCTTGTCCAGCCAGTCTAGCCAGTGCCAGTATCAAACTCCCCCTTTGCCGCAGTGCCAGTTGTCCTCTGTCAGTGGTCGCTACCCACCTCGAGAGGTGCCCCCGCGCTTTCGGCAACAGGAGCAGAAGCATCTACTGAAGAGAGGGCAGCCTCTGCCTCCTGGAGCTCTTGGCGTGCTCAGCATCCCCCCAGTCTACTCTACAGACTGTACTAACTCTGCCACCACCTCTGCGGCCAAGCGGCTCACAGGTTGGTTTGTACTCCTATGGCACAGGCCTGCTATCACCGTTAGTATGTTCTTGTTCTTGAACTCCATTTGGATATTTACATTAAAAAGGATAATTACTTTAGGATCACACAGCGGAGAGTCATTTGTGCATGACATAGACTGATAAACCTTTACAAATGAGGTCAAACGTAACCAAGAAACATGTGTTTTTTGTTTTTGTGCCTAAACACAAATTTAGAAGCATAACATTTATTACTATAATACAACAAACCAAAAAAAATTAAATAAAGCAAAAAATTTTGTCTTTAATTTACATTTAAATGTTTTTTGATATATTTCAGTCAAATATATACTGTATTCAGACTGTATTTCAGTCAAATATAGGGAGTGCTATCCTACTAGTGCTAACTTTTAAATTTCACAAATCATCCGAAATAACTACAAAATGTCTTTTGTAGCGTTGCCAGCGCTAGCTTTTTTAATGAACTCGCTGGTAGTCCCAGATTACTGCCATGGAGTCTGCCTAGAGGGGCTCTTTGTGTTCAGTACAATCCCAGTTTATTTGTCTTCACCTTGATTCATTTTTAATGTAGTAGTCAGGTAAAGTTTTAAATGTTTCTGTTTTGATAAATGTTGGCACCTTACAAGGTGGTGTGTGTGAGGGACAGTATTTTTTGAACAGCTTTTCAAACTGGTCATTTTGATATTGAATAGTTTTAGAGCGATTTTACAAAATCTCCTTGACTTTCCCTATAAATAAAAGTGCACCTCAACTTTAACAGGTCTTGCCTCAACCTCAACTTCACGACATGTGCTGCTACATTGTCTGCATCTTGCATTTAAATAGATGCTCTCTTTTTCTGATTTTTGCTTTGCATTTTAAAAGATGCTCTCTTTTTCAGATTTTTGCTCTATAATTCCAAAAGTCCATTTGGTAGCTTGAAACCCCGTTTCATGTGCTTATGTTGTCCGTGTTTGTGTCTGCGCTTAACCCGACCTCTGCGCACTGCAATAGGAAAAGTGACTAGGCATGCGACTGAGGAAAAAGGCTTCTACAAACGGGAGAAAATAAGTGCAGCCAGAGCAAAGCGGTTTGATATAGAATGGCGTAGTCCATGCAATTGTTTCTTAGGCACAGAGACCGAATCAGCGGCTGCTGCTCTGTCGGTTCAAGAATGAGGACTTAATATGATAGAAATATAACCATATAATATTTATATTAGAACTGAAATATACTGAAATATGTTTGATAGGGTTAGTTATGGCTGCGGAAATGCTTCTTGAGCACAGACGCACCAACAGATGGACGTTCCTTGCTTTTATAGATTGATATCAATGAATGAAGCATCAAGCATAGTAACCCAGGTTAATTTCTGGTTAATTTCATATTCTGAGCCCTCAAGTAGGCGGTACCTTTATGTGGTGTGGCTCTTCACAGGAGAGTTAGCTCAGCAGTGATTGTTCTGTCTCTGCTTTGGTTTGCATTTCCCTAAGGCCTCTAAGTGCATTTACAGTCAGACTGTTGACTAATGTGCAGACTGTTTGTACACACCTGTCTGATCAACTGACCCAAGCTGATGACCATTTACAACTGTGTATACTCAACATTGTCTCTAGATTGTGTAAATGTTTTCCTATGTCCCCTTTCATATTTTACTATAACTTTAAACAAAACATGAACTCTCTTTAAGGACAATCTCTAACCTTACTGTTGAGGTTGCAGTGCCCTCAGGCAGTTATCTCTGTCACTACTAGCTCAGCTATTCAGCACATGTGCAAATATAAAACATGTGTTCTGATGGTGAAGCAGCACAGCCACAGGAGAAACAGTTGTGACCTAAATGTGTCCCCTCTAATCTGTATCCAGATGTGCCGACTCCAATTCAACTGATGATATATTAGGAACATATATATACATATACATTTATTACCGTAGTTTTTAATTCCAGGCATGTTTATTGGCCTTCCAACATTTTGGGTATACCCTTTGCTCTGACACAACTGTTTCCTCTGCTGCCACATCCCTCCAGCTGACTGAGGCATTAAAAAGTCTGGAGCAGCAGGCGTCCAGACAGACTCGCAGGGAGCAGGTGCTGTGGTGGGACCCTTAAGACTGTGGGAACTTCATCCCAACAGCTGCTTGCCAGTCACCCAGACATAGATTCAGCCAGAAGGCAGCAAGCTTAACCCTTTAATTTACATGTTTTATGCATGCATGCACAGCACACACACACACACACGCACACACACACCCACACATTTATTCAAATTGCAAAGAATTTACTTTGACGTAGAATATTTCTGATTATGTATATCCTCATACTTAAAGACTTGTTATCAACAACATTTCTTGGGAAGAATATGAATTGATATACTATCATAAAAATCGCAATAAATGAAAGTGAATAGCCCTGAGCAGTAATCAGTGTTTAGCTTCAATCAGCCCTTTGTATAGGAACATTTTTCATACTTGAAGATGTTAAAATAATGACCATTTAAAGCATGGCATTTGTATTTTTGAAAATCACCACATAATGACTTCTTTGCGGTCTTATTCACACAGGAGAGGTGAGGATTTCCCCAATGTCGTTTGAGAACTGAGAAGGGCCCCTGGTGGCTTCATTTATTCGCGGTTGGGAAACCAGGGGACAATCCAGTTTCTTCTCTTTCTCCATGTTTGTCCTACAGTTTTCCTCCTTTGAGAAAAAAAACATAACAAACAAATGCACATTACTTTTGATCCAAGTAGGTGTAATAGTTCAAAACAGCTAATTGTATTTATGTCTAATGCCTGAGGAGAATCCAGAATGTTCATGTAATTGGCTTGGAAATTGTCATTTTGACAACATGGCTACCTTTTGTGACACATGTCATTGTAAATACAAGCCCAACCCCTCAGAAAGTTCTCCATCTTTGCCAAATGCCCCCTTTCTTTCTCTCTGCCTTTCATCCAATTCAAAGGGGAGGGAGCCATTTAATTCTTGGCTACTTCCCCACTTCTGTTATGGTAGCTTGGTGTTCCTGTCCATCCTCACTGCTCCTGTAAAGGAGCAAGCGCCCGCATATCCCCTAGGTATCTTCCATTCTGATTATTACCATAGAGCCTTTTGTTTTCTGTCTGTGTCGACTAGGTTTTGGTCAGCCTCGCCCTCAATCATTACCGATTTATTATTTAAAGCCAATGCCTCGACTAAGAGCAACTTTGCACAAAAAGAATGTTGACTCTGTATTGGTATTGCTCTGTGCCTGCCATCCCTCTGACGACCTGGTGCGATAAGACTGCCTGGGGACTGGAGATAAGTGTGTTGATGCTAGAATTGCACCGAAAAACTCTGTGGCATGTTAAGTAGTGGATGTCCATTTCTTGTAAGTTGTGTCTGTGCCTAAAATGCATATTTAACTGGATGTTTTTAGTGGCTCCTTATGACCTGGTGCTCACAAGTTTTAGATTTTGGTGATCACTCAACTGGTCAACTGTTGTGAATGTTGTTTCTTGACCTGTGCATTGAAAGAAAACAATGTAGCTGCAGTTCCTAATGGTTTCAAATCCAATTACAGGAGTGCGGCCGAATGGGTAGGATGTTTGCATGTCGGATCGATAGGCCCCCCTCTCACCCACTAGCATTAATAAGATCATTGATTATCTGCCTCCTCCTGATTGATTACCCCTCGACAGTATATATATCGCCTATTATTAGATTGCACGCAGAAGGGCTGCTTTGTGTTTAATGAAATGCCTAACCGCTAAATAGCATTACAACATTCAAGGTTAAAGATGCACTGTGTAAAAGGATATTTGATCCAATGCTTTGTTTCAAGGATAGTGTGGTCTTGCCAACACAACGTTTATACCATTTAAATGAGCTTGGCAATGTTCACAGGTGAAACTATATAGGACTGTATTTTAAAGACCTTATGACGGTTTTTTTTTTTTTAAAATAGTGGATATCAAAATTGCATGACAATGTCAATTTGAAAGAGATTCCGGAAAAAAAAATCCTATATTTTATAAAAAGAACGTGTTTTTCATGAATTTAAGTTGTCTATGCTCTAACCTGTGTGTGACGTCATAGCGGGTTACGCCCATGCATTGAAAACCATGGATCTATGCCACAGGACTGCCTTTTCTCTCTTCTCACCACTGATGCCCAACACAATACTGCACTCTACAGGTGACAATTGCTCACTACACATAAATTGCCGTTTTGAGTGTGAAAAAGTGTCCAAGGTGGGATTTGAATCCAAGTGTCTGGATTGGCAGTCCATCGACACAACCACTGGACTATCTCAGTGACAATGAAATGTTACATTCTAGTAGTTATGTTAGACTCGCTGTACACGGCCTTGTCATCTTGAATATCTGCGAAAAAAGAACGAATACCAAATTGTAAACTACTTACAGCGTTGAAACGTACCCGTTCTGACGTCACCAAGGACTGTGAAGTTTTTTCGTTTCTAAGGGCGTTGCTATGGGGTTATTTCGATTTGGGGGGATCAGACAAAAAAAACAACAACTGATTTTGAAACCTTTTAGTAGTTATCTTCTAATGTAAAATGGTATTAAAACTGTATTTCTAAATAAATCAAACCCGTCATAAGGTCTTTAAACTTATAGACATGCACTACTAGACTGTGCATATACTGTGTAAAGGTATTAAACCTCCAACAAACTCATACATGCTCATAAGCTTGGAACAAGATTTTTTTATTTGTGTTTTATTTTGCTGTTCTTTGGGGGCGGGTCAGCAGAGTGTAGGGAGTGATGGATGAGAAGTTGTCCCAGTTTCATTCCAATAAATGAGCGGCGTTCCACTTGGGCTTCCCTTCACAGCCTGAGTCAGTGAAGCCACGATGGAGACGAATGAGCCTCTCACTACTGTGTGCTAGAAAACAGCGAAAGGGAGAGAGACGGAAAAAGGGTGTCGGAGGTGATGGCTACTTGGATAGTAACGATTATAATATGTTAAATCCTTTAATAAATCCTTCTTTTATCATAAGCGGGATTGTAAACAAAAATCTAATTGTGATTTTTCCTTGATAAGGAGCTTTCTTGCTAAATGTTTTCTCTGCTGCATAAATTATTTGATGTAGTTTTCATCAGCCTTCTCTTTCTCTACAGATATCTCACAGAACGGCGTGGATACCCAGCATGAGACATCCCATTGGGGAACATATTTGCCTGTTGACAGCTCCTTCAGTCCCAACAACTGGAAAAGAGTGAATATTGACGCCAGTGATAAAGACTCTTGGCTCTCAATCAGAGGCAGAAGTGACCCTTCTTCAGCAGAATGCCCCTGGGGCTCATCTTGTTCTGACCACAATACCAGCGCCGGCACCACCACAGAGTGCAGTAGTTCCCAGAGCATGGCCACAGGTGCTGCAGGCCAGCAGGCCCACTACCCCTCTCTGAAATCAAACAACAATATGATGACTGGACCTGTGTCTGCCAGTACCTTAAGTGGGAACAGGGGGTGGAGCTCAGAGGGAAAATCAGATGTGATGAATGGTGGTCGAATGGGAATGCCCAATAACTGGGGATCATCCAATTTTAATTTAAACCTCAATCCTAATGCCAACCCTTCCGCATGGCCTGTTCTTGGTCATGAGGGCAGTGGAAGTAATGGCCCCAATGGGCTGCCCAACTCCTCATCTCTTACCTCTGGTATAAAGAGTAATGGAAATCTTGGAGGACCAGATGTGAGTGGTGGTGGGTGGGCTGGCATGATGACTACAAAAGAGATGGATCATCAGCACCCTTCGACCAACACTTGCTTATCTTTTAATATGGAGCCTGTAAACCTTAATTCTGACGGACCAAACCATACAAAGCAACAACAACAAACTCAGGAGCCAATGAGCCCTATCCACGGGATGACGGGGTGGGGAGGCCAGTCCCCAACAGAATCATCTCAGCTCAATGGAGACACAACAGGCAGCTCAGTATGGGGAGGTGGGGACTCTAAGGCAGCTGACTCCCCTAAAGACTCTGGCTGGGACTCCAATCCATCCGGAGCCCTATCTTCTTGGGGCCGTCAAGGCAGTGGGGCAGGAAGTAATGGAGGTAATACATGGGGGGACTGGGGAAAGTCCTCTGGAGGAGATGCACCCAAAGGCTGGGACTCTATTGATGCTGCAAGTTCTGGTCCTGGACAAGAGCAGCCGCTGAGCTCCTGGGGCCAGCAGCCAGGTACAGCTCCAACTAGTGAGGGCAGTGGAGACAGTAGTGAGGGGCGATCTCGCCATCGAGATAGGTCCAATAGCATGGAAATTACACCGGTAATTCCACGTCAAGATTTGGATCCTCGTGTTTTGAGTAATACTGGGTGGGGACAGACCCCTATTCGACAACACACAGTTTGGGAAATGGAAGAAGCCAGTTCTGATGATTCAAAAAGCTGCAGCAATTCAGAAACTTTAAGTGGCTCTAATCATGCAACTTCTCCAACCTGTGGAGGAAATGCAATTGCCAACATGGGACCTGGTCCAAGGGCAGGTTCTACAGGAAAGAGTGACAGTGATGTGTCGTCACCTTCAAATAGGGGAGGTCCTCAGTCAATGCAGACTGGATCAGAGTGGAATGATCCTCAGCCAAAAGCCCAAAACAGCACTAACAGTGGGTGGGGAGATCCTATGCCTGCCAGTGGTCCTAAAAGTGGAGGCTCCTCCTCTTGGGGGTCCGAAGATAAGTCACCCAGTTGGGATGATGGGAGGACAAAAAGTCAACCTGCTACTTGGACTGAGGGTTCCTCAAGCAGTCGTGGATGGGGAAATGGTAACGGCAGCTTAAATAGCTCCAGTACAGGGGAATGGGGAGAGCCAGAGGCCAAGAACAATGGCAATCCCAGTAGCATGTGGGAGGGGGAGAATGGAAATGGTGGTAGTTCTGGGTGGAAGGACAGCCCTCGAGCAGGAAATCGAGGTGGTGGCTGGGGTAAACAAGCTCCTCCAGTGAATAATAGTTGGGGAGATGCAACACGTGCCAATGGGGAAGTTCAGGGGAGCTGGGCCTCCTCCAAACCTCAGGAGAGCAGCAGTAGCAGCACCGGCAGTGGAGGTGGTGGTAGCATTGGTTCTTGGGGTGGTCCTAGTTCTGTGAAGCAGAACAACTCAAACTGGAGTGATGCCAATAAAGCAGATCAGGGCATGGAGCCAACTGGCTGGGAAGAGCCTTCTCCTCCTTCCATTCGAAGAAAGATGGAGATTGATGATGGAACGTCAACATGGGGGGATCCCAACGTGTATGACAAGACTAAGACCGTCAACATGTGGGATCGCAACAATCCCACTGGAACTCCTGGAAACAACAGTGGACCACCACCAAATAAGAGCGGTGGAATTCTACCCAACAATAACAACCACACTGTGTCAAACGGCAGCCATCATCACAGTCATCACATGCAGCATCATCCTCATCATGGCCCACCCCCAACTCACATCCAGCACCATGGAAACAACAACGGCTCGCCCAACAGTGGAGTCTCTCACCCAGGAGCAGGCCCTCAAAGACCTCCTATCGCCAACCCAGGTAATATTACCCAAGTTATATAAATATCAAAGTAGACTTGCAGATGGATGAGTCGCTGTTGATAAAGTGAATCAATGAAATAAATACAATAATTACATTCATTAAGTTTGTGTTACCTTTACCTTAAAGTTTGTGTGTGTCATTCATATAAAGATCATTCAAGAGGTTGAGTTGCTAGTTATACAATTAGATGTTTACTGTGACACAAATTTCTGCTGTTGTACTACCAATGTGTGTATTTGCTTCAGCACTAAATCAAATATGCAAAAATGTATAGCTCAATTCATGAATCTATTATTATATATATCCTTGTCTGCAGGATGGGGCGAGCTCCCAAATGTTCAGCCCAAGTCAGAGCCTGCTTGGGGGGAACCAGCTGCTCCAACTTCTGCTGTGGACAATGGCACTTCTGCCTGGGGAAAGCCATCAGGGGGAGTCGGAGGATGGGGAGATGGTGGACACGAGTCCTATGGCAGGGCCAATGTCCCCCCTGGTCCTGCGCCATGCAAATCAGGTAAGAGTTTATACTGATATTACAATAATACATTATTGTAATATCAGAGGAAGAATTTCATTCATAATTTTAAAATGTATAAAACCTGCAGAAAATGTTCCACTTCATCAAATGGTAACAGTGACACCAAGTGGTGGCGTTAAGACAGGCTCCAAGACCCAAAGTCTGAAACACCACCCCTTATTGAAAGATGGGCTGCCACCTCAATACGTACATTTTCAAGTGTATACCAAATTCTATGAACATGCATGATTTTATGTAATTGTTTGATTATTACATAATAATTTAATTATATATTTTATGAATTTAGATTTGCCTTAGCTCCTTATTACTGGTCTTGTGGACCAACTTTTAGACCCCCTCTGTAGTGCCGCTGAGGCCTCCCTCTGATTGAGATATATATATATATATATATATATATATCAATTTATTTATTTATTTTTCCCCCCCAGGCCCTAAACCTATGCAAGATGGCTGGGGAAATGGAGGAGAGGAAATGAGTATGTCAACCAGCCACTGGGACTCAGAGGATGGAGATATGTGGAACAGTCCTACATCACAGGAAAGCAATTCATCTTGCAACTCTTGGGGCAGAAAGGGTCCAAACAAGGTTAGAAGATGGTGTCAACGTTATTATTTATGTAGAATAGAATGCTTCCAGAATCATGAAATCAACAATTGCAATGATTTCAGGGGAAGATGGGTAACAAACCAGATGAAGCTTGGATCATAACTCGTCTGGTCAAACAGCTGACTGACATGGGATTTCCGGTACAGAAATGGAAATTCTTATACACACACAATAGTTTATGTTTAAAAAACTTATCCATGCGCTGTATTGTGGTTGCAGAGAGATCCTGCAGAAGAGGCATTAAAAAGTAACAACATGAACCTTGATCAGGCAATGAGTAAGTTTTCTTCTACGTTTCTTTTTCATTAAACAAAAGTTGTGAAAGACTCTTATGAATATATTTGTACTTCTTTACCATTTCCATAACATTTGATCTTTTAATTGGAAATTTTCATTTGGGAGCACAAATAATGGGAACAAGTATGCTCCAGAATAATATTTTTTTTTTTTGTGGTTTTTTTAAGTTTTTGTATTTCTACCTTTTGCATTTTGAGATTGTATTGATTATATTCATATATATTTGTATTATTATTTTTACATATTTCTTAAAATTATAAACGGGTTATACAAAAACAATGAAGAAAACCTTTTTAACTTTAACATTTCACAGGTGCCCTGTTGGAGAAAAAGACAGACCTGGACAAGCGAGGCATGGGCCTTTCCGATTACAGTAACAGCATGAACAAATCCCTGCTTTGCCGACCCTCGATGCTCTCCAAAGACTCATCTGATCGCACTAACTTTCTGGACAAGGTGACTGCTACACTTGTGTGTGTGTGCGGGTGGGTGGGATTTTTCACGCCTGTATTCATATCTACTGTACTTTCATCACTTGAGCATCATGAGCCAAAGCAAATTCCTATTTTATGACTTCCTCTTACTTAACCCTACATGACAAGTTAGAGTAATTAAACTATTGTTTACATTTGTAGGATGGTGTTCTGTCAGATGATTCTCCTTCATCACCATTTCTGCCTTCTCCTGGCCTAAAGCTCCCTATGGCCAACAGTAGCCTTTCAGGGCAGGGTCTGGGACAGGGCAGTCCAGGGCTGGCAATGCAAAACTTGAACAACAGACAGGTAAGAAAATTACAATTTCACTTATTACACAATATAACCGACACTTCAATAATGCTACTTAATTTATTAGAATAATTGTATTATTTTAACATTGTAAACGACATTGAAATATCCAAAGCTGATCCAAGCTGTCTTTTAATTACCTGATATCTGATATAACATACGTGATCTATTTAGTATGTTTTATAGTGATGCTCCAGTCCAGTGGCCAAGTCCTAAACTTTTCTATGATTATATTTCAGATAACAAGTGGAATGTTTGGCAGCAGTGGAGCAGCACAAAGCCGGGCCATGCAGCAGCAGCCTCCACAGCCATCAGTGCCACCTCTCAGCTCCTCCCAGCCGAGTCTACGTGCTCAAGTGCCTCAGTTTCTCTCCCCTCAGGTGCAAATAAAAATTATAAGTAGGACCTGCAGGAGTCTTCCTACTACCACACTCCAAAAACTATTAGGTATGTGATAATCCACACACCAAAATTGAGTTGAATTTTGGTGTGTGGACTACATACCTAGTAGCCTGGGTGTACTACACCATAGTACAAATGACATGTCATACTAAGGTCTGGAGGTGCCCCATTGAGCTCAGTTTACAGGTGGGAGGGGTTAACTCCTTTTGCAGATTGAAACGATTGGATCCGAGTTTACCGTGACGTATGTAATGCGCCCGAGTCTGTTGTTAGCATTTAGCATTTAGCCTAGCCATCTCCTTTGCCGCTAACGAAGCCCGTGGGGAGTAGCGCCACAATTTTTCCAGCGATTACATTTGCTAAACATTCCTCTTGCTTCGGCTTCAATTTCTTGATAGTAAAGTAATCCGGTCTGGTTCTATTGCATTTTTCGCCATTGCCAAACTACAACTTTCCCGTTTGACGTAAACTCTTGACATCACCCACAACTATCTACAACACCCGCCTCCCGCGCTCTCTGATGGTCGGTTGAAATTCAAGCGATTGTATTCGCTAACATAGGGACCTGACCCAGACGTTACTTTCAGTGAAATGATGATTGAGCGGAGTGTACGGATGGCTAAGGCCAGACTACATACCTAGTAGTTTTTGAGGAATCCTGCCTGTAGACAAACACACACATACAAAAACGATTACAATACCACCCTATTAACGGGGTAATTACAGGCCAAATACTTTTTGTAAAAAAGCCTATTGTCATAATATTTATACAAAATATACATTTCAAAAAAACAAAATGTATGTACATGTACTGTTGGCTGCTGCCTTTGCTATAAACAAATAATGGAGTTATTGGAATTGGTCAATAACTGGGTATGTGAATCTGTGCTTGTTTCGTAACATCATTGACTACTTGATTAATTTAAGTTGGTAATCGATATATTGCTTAATCAACAACTGCAATCCTACTCTCAATGCAATTTATTTGCTCCTTCAGGTCCAAGCACAGCTCTTGCAGTCTGCAGCAAAAAACATTGGTCTGAATCCTGCACTTTTAACCTCACCAATAAATCCTCAACAAATGACCCTGTTGTACCAACTTCAGCAGCTGCAAATGGTAAGTGTGTTTAGGTCTCTTTAAAAAACGTTCACACGAACTTCTAATTAGACTTTTTCAAATCTTAATCATTGTATATTAAATACATTCTTTCTTTCTAGGCATACCAGCGTTTACAAATCCAGCAGCAGATGATGCAGGCACAACGCAATGTTTCTGGCCCTATTAGACAACAAGAGCAGCAAGTGAGTGGTTATGCCAGAAACTCTATATCTGACTTGTGATGATTCTCAGTCCATGTCCAGTGTAAACAGCTTATTTTTTTAAAGTATAAACCGTAAAGTGACGGTTTCCTGGCTTTATGAGGTCAGTTACAAATATAATTTTTTTTTAACTGGATTTTGCGTAGACAGAGCTAGTTTGGTAAATGTTTGCGTCCAAAGACTCAAACTCACCTGGGAGCATTGTAATGGATGTTGCAGCCCTGTGGGTGGCGCTCTGAGACTGTGACAAGAAAACACCAAATCAAAAAAAGAAATATGCTTTAAAGTTCCCCTCTTGGAAGACAATAAAGTACTCACAACTTAAACTCTTTAAAGAAAACCTGTGACAACATTTTTACCAAAATGAGGAGACATTTTTCATTTGCCGAGCAGATGAAATATATTTATAATATATTTATTTGATTACGCCTGTTGCTGAGTAGTGATGATTGTGTAGTAAACACAATGATCCCGTCAGCACAGCACACAGAAGGAGCTGGATTGGTGATGTCACCAAGTAAAAAATCTACCCCAGGATTTTTGTTTAAAAATGTTTGTTTCATTATTCAGATTCTTACCGGCACTGTGGAGAATTAGACAAAATACTTACTACTTACTTGCTGATACCCCTGAGATTAGTTTTGTGTGTACATGGCTTAAATGTTTTATTGAAGTCTTCTTTTTTTTATCCAAGAATCTGCCAAATGTACAGAGTGGTTGTTAGTTTCTTTGTCCTTGCTTTAGTCAGAATATTAATTGATCATTCTATTGTAGGTTGCACGTACAATCACCAACATGCAGCAGCAGATCCAGCAGCACCAGCGTCAGCTGTACCAGGCGCTGCTCATGAAGCAGCAACAACTTCCTACTCATTCCTCCAACTCTTCCTCTGCTGGTCTGCACCCTCCAGGAGGCCCTCCTGGAGGTCCTGGAAAATCATCCATGGACCCTTTCTCTGGCTCCCACCATTCTTCGGGCCTTGCTGACACACTACACACCAAAGAGCCTCCATCTTCTCCCAATTCCTACAACACCTATCCTCTCAGTAAGTGAAAGATGTGAGAATCATGCTTAATGAAGTTGCTAAAGTTCATTGTAGATGTGCAAGAGACCTTTTAAACACCATCCTAACCTTTGCCTTTGTTTCTGACTATTTCTGTGCAGCTGGACTGACTCCGAACATGAATGTAAACTGCATGGAGGTAGGGGGCCTGTCGCTGAAGGAGCCCCCTCAGCCTCAGTCCCGTCTATCTCAATGGACACACTCCAATGCCATGGATAACCTTTCTGGCAATATCAGTAATATGGAGAGCAACCTCAATAAACATGGTTAGTTCATCAAACGAGTAGAAGAAAATCTCCAGTTTTTAGTTTGTGAAATAGTTTTGTCTCATAGTTTGAGAGGTGTCATGTTAGATCAATGACACATTTCACTTAATGTGTGTTCACATTTGGAAGAATATGAATACCTCACGTGAGGTACCTTTGGAAGAATGTGTATTGATTCTGATATTCATGTGTAATTTTGTCTGAATTTGTAAAGCTTGAATCTTTTGAAAATGAAATGAATTTAATGACTTTACATGTTGTTGAAGGTGCCATAACTGCTGTCTCCTCTCTGGGCCCTTCTCGGAAAGCCCCGCAACTGGAGGACTCCTACAGCCCTTACAGCCTAATGTCCTCGACTGAGTCTCCTTCCAGCTCCCTGGTCACTGCAGACAGCTGGGGCCAGGGAAAGAGCCCAAATGAAAAGATATCCAATGGGAACAACATAAACTGGCCTCCAGGTTAGGATATGACACATTTTCTTTTGCATCACAGAAATCCAATTAAACATAATTTAATCCAATCAAAAATCCAATTAAACACACTAAAACACGTGTTCTTATTTCAGAGTTTTGCCCTGGTGTGCCATGGAAGGGCCTTCAGAATATTGACCCTGAGAATGACCCTAACATGACGCCCGGCAGTGTCTCAACTGGTCCCACCATCAACACGAACATCCATGATGTCAATCGATACCTTTTACGAGACAGGAACGGGGGTAAGAAAACAAAACGGCAAAATCATTTCTTTTTAATGGTGTCTTATTTTATCATTACTACATCATAGTCACATTCTCCATTTGAGAACGGCTCATCCAGCTGTGACTGGCCTGTCAGTAGCCACTCTAACTCTTTCAGTCTGATGGAGATGGCACAGGTAGAGCACTGAAGTGTTCAGTTGTGTAGACCACAGAAGCCTTGATAAGATTTTATTTCATGCTTTTTTTTTTCTTGAAACAAAACCACAGTTTTAACTACACCTTTTCCTCTGGCAGCAGCCTCACCCACAGTAGTTTCACTTTGACCACACCTCACTGTAGTTCATGACCCTGTGTGCATGCTGTCTGTGATTTTGTGTGTACATAATATATCATCTGTAAACACATCAACAACTTTCTTTTTGCTCATGACTTTCATTCCATTTGTGACATGTCATTGATCATTTCATCTCATCTGTTCTTTTTGTCATGTAAAGGGAAACTCTCTGACATGAAGTCCACTTGGTCTCCAGGGCCCATCTCCCAAAGTCAAGGCTCTCTGTCCCATGAGCTGTGGAAGGTTCCTCCAGGGCCTCGTAGCACCATAGCTCCTTCTCGGCCACCGCCTGGCCTCACCAACACTAAAACTTCCACTTGGGGCGGCAACTCCCTGGGACTGACCCAGGGCTGGAGTAACTCTTACACGTCTGGTGAGCTAGTCATTTTTACACTCGTACCACTTTTTTACAATAACGGCAAGAATGGACTCCATGGTTGGAGTTCATTCTGTTCAAACTGTTTGATCTGTAATACTATGTGATGCATGTGAACACATACTTTTTGCACATACTGATTCCTTCTGATTTTACTAAATATATCACTAATTCCCAATAATAAAAAAAAAGTGATTTATATGTAAATCTATTTAAATATGGCTCTGAACTTGTATTTTGTTATGTGTGCGTCTTGCAGAAGGAACCACTTGGAGCACAGACAGCAGCAGCAGAACCAGCAGCTGGCTGGTGCTGAGGAACCTCACCCCGCAAGTATGTGCTGTACTACAACACTCGCTCTGGATTTCTATACTCCAGTTAGTTTAAAATAATTATTTTTTGTGTCGTAGATTGATGGTTCAACTCTGCGGACTCTGTGCATGCAGCATGGTCCCCTGATTACATTCCACCTCAATCTTACCCAGGGCAATGCTGTGGTCCGCTACAGCTCAAAAGATGAGGCTGCAAAGGCTCAGAAGTCTCTGCATATGTAAGTTATATTATTTTCAGGAGTCTCGTTCATCCGTGTGATTCACATGAAATTCCAAACATAAAATGTAATTTTGTAATCACAGAAGTGAATCATTCTGGGTCATGTACACATTTCTTGAATTCTTTTAAACGCACAAAGAGTCTAGACCAGTGTGATGCAGTCTCCCTTTTTATTGATCGTTCTGTGAAACAACATTAATTTTGTTTTACTCCATGAAAATGACAAACTAAAACAATAATAGAACATAAGGGACTTATGGTCACATTAACAAAAAACAAAAACAAAGAATCTATCATCCAGACGAGGCCCATATTCCTAACATTAAAGAAATAGAATTAACTAATTGGCTTTTTGGTTTAAATTTGATCCATAGAAATATTTTCACTCTGATAATTGTCTTTCTTTGTTGCCCTACTCTAGGTGTGTACTTGGAAACACCACCATTCTGGCAGAGTTTGCTGGTGAGGAGGAGGTGAACCGCTTCTTTGCACAAGGCCAGTCACTTGGGTCCAACACCACTAGCTGGCAGGCCAACCAGGGAACCAATCAAAACCGAATGGGAGGGGCAACACAGTCTCACACAATTGATCAGTGGAGCAGCGGCGGCAACGGAGCAGTGGGCAGCGGCGGTGCTAAGAACGGCAGCGGTGACCTGCTGTGGGGAGGTGTTCCCCAATACTCCAGTTTATGGGGGCCTTCAAGTGGAGATGACACCCGTGTGATCGGCAGCCCCACTCCCATCAACACGCTGCTGCCTGGAGATCTGCTGAGTGGAGAGTCCATGTAGACCTTGCAACACCCAAACACGAGCCTCCTGCCATCGTTCAGTGTGGAAAACGCTGAAGAGTAGGCTGCAAACCAATTCAATATGAACAGGAGCTAAATACAAGCAAATCATGTGGCGATAATCAGTATCACTCTTTTGAACTATGTCGAACTGTGAATTGTAAATCAGGAGACTGGGGTCTTCACCACACAGACAAAGAGACTCCAGTTCTTTTGGTTTATTTTTGTTGTATTTCAAGTTTTTTACTTTTTTTCTTTTTTGAGGCAAACACAGAGAAAGCTGTCAATTTGTTTTCCATAAGTATACAACATTCTGTGTGAAGTTTTTAGGAGAAGCAATCAAAGCTGCCATCTGAGACTTTCCTTTCTCCTCTAAAAGAAATCATCCCAAAAGAAGACCTAAAATGACCATTCCCAGCATGCCCAAGGCCAATGACCATGTGGTTCAAAGACCTTTACTATCAATGTTCTTGTTTGTTTCTCAGCACTACTATTAGCCTTAAGTGCTCTATGGCCCAGGTTCTTCCCAAGCCGCCTTTATTTTTTTGTTTTTGTAACTGAAGAAATTGCTAAAATCTTGCACAGTTTTCACCTCTGAGCCAGAAAGTGGTACAGGACATAACTGGTGACCCACACAGTCACTGGGCAGTATCAAGGCCGTATCTGGTCCTACCAATCATCAGCATCAATGTTCCTTTGACTCTTTCATCTCTTTATTTTTTTTAGGTCAACCCTGTCTGTGGAAAGTGACCACCACATATAAGCTTGGATATGTGGCACTGAATCATGAAAGTCCATATTCCTCATGGAACACCAGTTCATCAACTGGTGCTTTAGTTAAAAGCATTTTTCATGTTTTTGTTGAGAAGAAGTCCAGCAGTTTGCATGGTCTGCCATTGGAGGACAAAACTCAATTTGAACTTTTTAAGACAGTATCATTGTGCAATATGCCATAGACTTCTTCCGTCCATCATCACCATCTGTTGGAATTGTTATATTTATCATTTTTAACTTTGGTGCAGCAGTAAATGACTGTGGAACTTACTGAAAAAAAACCTTTTTAAAACGTGAACATTTTCTTGATGGCCAATTCCTATTAACTGTTGGGACACGTTTGCATAGAGGAAGCTGTAGCTGTTGAACTGAGCATGCTGAAGACTCTTCTGAGAAGTGAGACTGGAGATTAAAACACTTCCTCAGTGTGCACCGCAGCCACACCCAACAGAGACTGAATCCTTATGGGATTGGCCAGTTCTGGCTCCCTGGCACAATACCAAATAAGAGGGGTTTCTCCTAATGCAGTAGACCTACGAGTGTTCCTTGAGTTTGGTACTGTACAAACGAAAGATATGACTTCTATAAATCTAAAGGGTTTTATCATAGCACTTATGAAGAGAAAACTGCTTCAACTGCAATCCAATAAATCAAAAAAGAGCAGCAACAAACAAAAAACTAACACCTGCTCTTTATGTACTGTATGTATCTGATGGCGTCTGGTAGCAAGGCACGAGAAAACTGAAATGTACCTTTTGAACTTTGGGGGAAGCACCTGCTGTGGTGTTTTTCTCTTGAACAATATTTAAGTGAATATCACTGTTACTCCAAATGTTAAGCCTTGTTTTCTTTGGAGGCACTAGACTTGCAACATTATCTGTTCTAGACCCCACTGGCCGTCAGTGGTCAGTGTGCGTCAGGAGTGTGGTGGGGAGCTGGTGTGTCCACTGAGTGCCTCTGCTATGGTCAGTGCTGCTGACGGAGTCACTTCCTCCTTCATGTAAAGTAAACAAAGGCCCGTAAACATGGCAACATCTGTGGAGCACCCTCTCCCCAACACCTCTTAGTTCTTTGACACAAAGATCACTTTAGCTGGAACATGTAATAGTCATATTTCTGGAATTTTGCCAGTGTAATTTTTATGATGTTTTTTTCTTTCTTTCAGTATGTGTCTACATTTAGTGGTAAAGCAAAACATTTGCTGCTGAACTAGCCCTTCACTGTTCATATGCAGAACACTTTGGTCAGAGGTGCATCTGTATGTTCATCCTGTGTATTGAATGCAAAACAATACTACAGACCATTATCGATTGTGTATATGTGAAACTGCTCATGCTTTGTGTTTGACAGTATTCTGTAGTACTTCCAGGTAGTTGTCTTGAGATGTGTAAAAGTTGAGTGTCTTACACAGGGTTGTAGCTGTTGGTTGCACCATGCTGCTCCACCTGTTCACAGGCTGTCCCCCCTGTGCCCGTTGCCAAGCTGCTACGTTATGACCTCCTCCTCCTCCAGACCCAGTAGCCTTTACCCCATCAGGCACCTAAAGGCCCTCCAATCTTTCTATGCAAAAGACTAGAGGCTGGAGCATGCCACTCTTTAGGAGAAAAGCACTTGTTTCCTGAGCTTGGCGATCCTCAAGCGTTTATCCCTGAGCCCTCCCATACCGGCCACATCAACACTTTTGAACACTCTGTGGTCAGCCTGCCCCTCTCTGTGCTGACCGCACTAGTGACTAGCTCGATCTCAGGGTAAGGGAGTTGATGATACAAAGTATGAAATACAGCTCTCCATGATTGTCCTTTTTGAGTGCGAGAGTATTGCCTTCATTTTAAGGCCATGCGCACACCTTAAACACAGACCTCATGCCTAAAAATGTAATTGGAAGGTGACAGGATATTGTCACATCCTGATCCAAGTGGGGCTTGTATGGTATACTAACCATGATGTGCCAATCTGCTGCACAGCACTTGTTTCCTGTGAGGAGGAGCTTTGAAACACTGAGCAGCGGGTTCAGTGGGGACAGAGGGAACCGTCCTGTAGACATGTTGCTTTGAGGGGACACCCACATAGGAGAAAGTCCTTACTCATTTGTGGGTTCCAGTTTGCTACAGTGCACAGTTGATGATGGGTAATCCCGGGTACATATTTTTTTAAAACCAAAAATGAAATTGCATTTTAACGTCATTTTTATGAAGTTTGACATAAAATCTTAAAAATGTTTTAAAAATCTAAATGTAAAAAAAAAAAAAAAAAGATCTATAATATGTTAATGCTCTGCACTTCTAGCTGAAACGTCTCTGGTCGTCGGTGTCTGCTGCCAACATCCACTGGAGCAAGCTGGCGGCTGGTGCCTTTTTGTGGATGCTATGTTTCTTTTGTTTTTGTGTCCTGCTCAAAGCAGACTCTCTGAACTGTACATTTCCACAAACCCAGATGACTTGGGCTCACTGTATCAGCCTCACTCCTACAGTAAAGGCTCAGACTTCATGAGGTACTAACTCTTAAAAGGAAAACAAAAAATCTAAAAATGGCTACCTTTTGGGGCTCTGTGTCCTGCAGCACACTAGCAAAAATCACTATTGCCTGTTTCTGTAACTGCCTTGATCCAAGCTCAGACAGACCCAATAGCCCAGGACCTCCCAGCATTCTGTCAAACCCTGAGCGTGAAGGGGGTTTCCCGTGCTGCACCAGCATCGAGAGGCTCTCCTCTCTACCGCAACATCTGTTGACAGTATCTATGTACATTAGGCACAATGTTACATACATACTGTTTCTACGCTGTGTTCTATCAAGACTCTTGGATCCAAACTTCTGATGCGTTCTGTGTATTCCAAAAGGTCCTTGATACAAACTGAATGAGCAATATGTATTTTTCCCGCAAATAAGTACCTACTTTGAAAAGATTTTGTGTCGGATGTTACCTTGATACTTGATTGAATGGAAGCTGTGTCTTTCTGATCTGGCTGCACATATGCACACCCTTGTGTAGACATGACACACAACACAGTGCTGTAGTGTGTATGCAAAGTACCTGTTTATTAGCTTGTCTAAAAGCCCAACCTGAATCATCTGCTTTGATGCATATTTTAACCTAGTTGATTCACAAACATATCAAAATACTGAACACAAATACTTGAATCATACAGCGCCAATAACATAATGTGAAGTCAGTTATTCATTTGTTGTCTCAATAAGACAGGTACACAAGCGCAGGCTTTTGCATTTATCAAAAAGTAATTGTATTAAGTAAAAAAATTGAACAAAAAGCAGTAATCATCTTAGATGTGTGCTTGCTGTTGTATGAATGTGTGCAGAAAACTGTGAGGATGTCCCACTCGGTATGATTACTTTATGTTGATTTTGTTCTGTCCAAACTATTCTAGTTGACGTTATTCTATTGTTGCACTGAGTGTCTTCTACCCCTCACTCAGCTAATCGTAAAAAATAAGTCAAAGTACAGAGGGGAGACCGTGACAATTCACGTGTACATGTTTACTCAAGGACTTGATGGATTTATTTCATTCTATATGTAAAAAAAAATACCTTATAGTGGCTTTTATTGTGGAATAATCCGACATAAGGATTACAAGTATTGCACCATTTTGTTCCAGTACAATAGAAAAAGTTAAAAAGTTAAAAAAAAAAGGTGTATAAAACAAAAATGTCACAAAAAAACTAAAAAAACATAAATGCCTAAAAACAAAAGAACTGTGGCCATAGCTAGCTGTAGAAAGACTAGTGAATCCCAATGTTACTTTGAAATAAACTGAATGGATTCAAGGAGAGAAGGGCAGGAGGCGAGTTTGTCAGAGGTGCCTATCTTTTCATTTGATCTCTAAAGCCGCCTGTCGTTTACAAGCATTTCATTTGTCTAGAGTTCAGTGACCTAGACAGACATAACAAGCGCAACATTTGGGGAAAATCTTCCATTCAAATAGACATCAAATCTTAAAAGACGAAGATTTATGCTACTTAAGAACTCTGGGATTGATCAGTGTTGTCATATTTGGATTATTAATTTGTTGTCGACTATCTCTGTATATTTGAACTGTATGTTTCTTTTCTGTAGGCAACAGTTTGCTTACAACCTTGCACACTCATAAAAGATATGGATTTTGTCTCAGGAAGGCCAGGGTTCCAGTTACCAACTCCATAATTATTATTTTTTTGTTAATGTGAATAGAGCAACTGACGACCCAAGAGGCATGGAAGTTGGACAGAATCTAGTATCATTTTGTTTGAAACAAAACGTTTGTAGCAAGTTATACCAATATTACCAAATAGACATAAGAAGAGAATCAACTTGGAAAAGTGGTGTGCTTTACATGTGAAATCTATGTAAATTGCTTTACATTAATATGAACAGTTTGATTGTTATAAATGCATTTTCTGTCAATGTATTTTATTATTTTTGTTATTTGTGTTCAGGAGCATTGTGCAAGTTTAGTTTGAATCAGCTCTCTGTTACAGAGAGGTTCTTACATGTGTGGAGAGTTTTCAGAGGACGATGGAGAAAGTCGAGATGGTTTCTAAAGGATCATGATCTATGCACAAGTGGGAGGGCGAGTCCAGGCCGCAGACGTGGACCTGTGCACTCGGGGGATAGTGAGGGTTCTTTTTTCTTTTGCTCATCCCCTCCTCTTGCCAATTCTTCATTATTGTCCAATGTTTTTACATCACTTAACATTGTGAGGCCATGCTGTGTTATTTAACCAATGAACTCTTATTTTCTGCTAAAGCACTGTGGGTTGTACTGGGGGGAAACCCATGACTTTTTTAAAGGGGAGGGGTGGGGGGACTTTGCCTTTGCCTTTCTCTTTACTTTCACAAACATTAAGGAAAATGTCTGTAATTCAAAATACAAAGTTGTGGCTTTTAATGTTCTTTTTTTCTCCTAGAATGTGATTGTTAAGGACATGAACCGGGGGAAAATGTTTCCATTGACAATGGAGCTTCTTTCTGACTATATTAATAAAGTGCAGATTTCCTTGGCTGTTATATTGTTATATCCTTTATTGTCTTCAGAGTTGTTATTCTGTGTTGTACAAGAAAAAGCAGGTTTTTTCTAAGACAAATCATTAGAATGAACATGTAGGGCAAGCAAGTTTATTTGTATAGCACAATTGATACACAAGGCAACTCAAAGTGCTGAACAGAGTAAGATGGAGACAGTCACACAAGGCATTGAAATAAAATAATCACAGTACAATAAGAAGAGTGAAGATAAAATCCCTGAGTTGTGTGCAAAGCTAAACAGAATAATTTGAACATTGTCAGAGAGCAGGCCTATCTCACATTTTCAGGAAGATCGCTAGATTCTAGCAGCATGAATCTGAAATGTAGCCTCCTCATGTCTAGTCCTTGACTCTGGGCACTAACAAGAGCCCCGTCCCTGTGCTCCTCAGAGTCCGGTTCATATGGGACTAACATGTCACAGATGTACTTCGGCGCGAGGCCATGGAGAGACTTGTAACAAGCAGAGCTGTTTTAAAGTCTTCTCTGAGCCACTAAGCCAGTATTCCTGGTTCTAGTCAGGACTCGAGCTGCAGTATTTTGAATATACCGCTTGTTATAAGCCGTTTTACTGCTGTTTGAAGAGACCTGTGAGCAGGCCATTGCAGTAGTCTGATCTACAGAGACAAATACATGATAAGAGTCTACAAGTCTGCTTTAAACACTATATTTTTGATCCTGGCAATGTTTTTTAGTTGGTAAATCCGTTTGGTGTCATCAAATGTGTTTCTAAAGATTCACAATGAAGGATAGAGTTAAACTGGCTCAGTCCAAAGATCTGCATTACATTGCAAGTTCATGAATTTGAAATCTAAAAGTAAATAATTGGATGGGTATGTTGTAGAATCCAAGTCTGACAGCCACTAATTTAATTTTACATTATGGCATATAACAACAAATGTTTTTGTTGTTTAACTAGTTGTATGCTTCTGTTGAGTCAAATTCAAAACATAGATTCTCTATTGGGACTCTCATAGTGGTTTTCAGGGCAAGACTCTTTCAGGGAAATGTTCCTGTACTCGGATGGGGCCTCCTCTGTAGCGCATCTGGACCGTTTGGGGTTCTTGGACTGAAGACCAGACATCTCCTCATAGATTGGAGCTTGGACGTGTGTCTTCTTTGCACGTGGACGGTTACCCTAAATGTGTAATTTAAAAATAAATAGATCAGCGCATCAACAAGTATTTCAATATTTACAGAAATCATTTTCAGTATTACTTTGGAATAAGTATGGAATTATTAATTCTAAATTCAACTAAAGAGGGAATAGCAATGTTCCTTATTTACGTTCACATGATGGTGTTAAAGCAGTTCAGTTGTGAAACTCTTTGGTTTTGTGGTTAGCAGCAGAGGAAGTGTACCCCTCGTCTTAACACACAGGTGCTGTTGTAGTTCTTTGTTTGGTTTGGATAAGTATCATACTACTGACATTCTCTAAACAATAGAATATTGTGAAAAGTTGTTTGTAGTTATTTTGGAAAGTAAAAAATCAGATCTGAGCAATCCATACTTTCTCCATTTAAATGACTAAGAATGTTATTTCTTCACTTAATCAGAACCTATTGTCATTGTCATGCAAATATTAGAATATTGCACCTATGATATGAAAGAAAAATCATTCATTTCATAAATATAAAATGTGATCTGTGTGTCCTTTGTTCAAACTCACTCTGTGCATGAGCACTGCCACCACGAGCAGGACTGAGGCGACGGCCACCGCTGCAGACAGGGCGTATATGAGAGCGGAGTAAGTGGTGCAACCACACTGGTCACCTGCACAAACACATTTATCATCACTGAGAAAAGAGAAAAACCACTTCTGCAGTTAGACTTGGCTGAAGAGAGTAAATATTAAGTCAAGCGTGAGAGCAATCTGCTGAACAAATGTAGAAACCACTGAGGCAAGCTTCCTTCCTTTTCAAATTACAGCTACACCACAATGTTAAGACAAAGCATCTTGAAAAATTGTTTATGAACAGTGAGATACACAAATGGATACAGTTATAACAAAGCCATCATCACTAGATCTGAGTCTTTCAAATGTTTCTCATTCAGAAAGTGAACAATATGTGGACATGGACATGAGCAGTTACCTTGCACAATCACATAGAGCCCCTGTGGGCCCATGGAAGGGCTGTGAGGCCGCTCACTCTGCAGCAGCTGACAGCTGTAGAGCCCACTGTCCTCTGGCTGCAGCCCTCCCACAGTCAGGGTGTAGCTGATGCCCCCTGGTCCAGGGGCAGTGCTCAGTTGGACCCTGTCCGCAGAGAACTGCGATGGCCCTGAAGTGTGCTTGGAGTGGTACAAGAGCTCCAGAGGCTGCTTCCCCCTCTGCCTCTTCAGAACGACCCCTTCCACAGCAGAGCTGTCCCCAGCAGGAGGGGCACAGGGCAGCAGGGCTGAGCCCCCAACACAAGTGGTAACCCAGTCTCTGTCAACATCCAGGACTCCAAAAGGAAAGACATGTCACAGTTAGAGACTGCAAAGCCAACACAACACAAACATTCTACACTGACATTCACATGAGGCGACATTAGGCCAATGGCACTTTCCACGTTCATAGAGAATATGGTTGGTTTCTATTCCACAGTGAGACCATAACACATCAGTGAGTGGGAATTTTATGACACTGATGAGGACATGGACACATCCTGTTACGACATGAGTCACCACCACTGTGAGACATGTGAGACAAGTGTGAGACTAACGTGTTGCTGGTCATTACTTCACTTGAAAAACAATGTTTTCTAACTAAAATAACGTCTGCTATAACAGAACACTGCTTTATCAAACTACTTGTAATACAATTACGTTATCAGAATCAAGGCGCACGAAGGACATGCTTGTCAATGTTTTGCGGCTACTCACCACCTCTTACGAAGAGGAAAAACTGTGTGTTCCCGTGTTGGATCTGGTCTTCTGAATGGGGGTTATCCAGGTTGAACTCGCAGGTGTAGAGATCAGTGTCTGAGGGCCGCAGACCTGAGATGGTCACATTGACTGCACGGATGTTGGGGTCTCCGCTCGTACTGGTCCTGTTGAGGTATTTGTTGTCCAGAACACTAACCTCTGAGCGCTCATACTGGAAAAGAATGTTGGAACGCCGCAGCCAGGAGCGCTTCAGGTAGACTCCAATGGGTGTGGCTGTGTTCTGATTCACCAGGCAGGGGAATACTACCACATCTCCCTCCTCTCGTGCTAAAAACTCAATGGCACACCGTACTGCAAAACACACAACATCCCTTCACTTATCTGCTGGAATGCTGGGTTATCCCTGACCAGGTGGGAGAGGCCCCATCACCAGACTGGATTTTCAAGGGGATTTGTTTCCATGGAAATTCTGTTGCTTTGTTTAAGAATACCCCAAATGTAACCCACCAAAGAGGAGAAACAGTTCCATTGAAAAGGGTAGGCCTACACCAGATTTTCTTTTTCGAAGCAATACACAGAATGCTTTTTAACCATATTTAACCCTTGTGCTTGCCTGGGGTCAAAATGCCCCGCCACAGTGATCAAAAGGGCAATTTGACCCAAGGATAGCACACGGGTTTAATAAGACTGGCTTATAGAAGATAAACCTACTCAACAGTATGTAGCATATATACATATATGCTGCATATATCAGCTGCAGAATATATCACGGGCTTAATCAGTTTTCAAAGGCCTCCACAAGAGTATAATAAAATCCCAAAATTAATTGAGCTACCTTTAATATTACCAATCCTAAAACAGCATATAATGAATGCAAATAGCAATTCAAATCTATAAATGGCTTTACATTTAAACTCACGGTGGTCACACTGTATACTGCAAGTTTTCTTCATTAGAAAAATACAATGGTCGAAGGTTGGAACGAACTCCCTCCTCGGACACTTCGAGGGGATGGGGACTTGCGTGTTATGTTGAGAACACATTCTCAGAAATGTTACCTGACTTTTAATATTATCAGACCAAACTGATGATAGTACCATCTAAACTTCTCAACAGAAGGAATATATGCGTAGGAATAATATTTTATATACACACACATACAATATATATAGATATATCTATAGATATATAGATATCTATAGATACATAGATAAAAAGAAGGGATTTCCCATTCTTGTTTTTCCTGGATAGTTGGACTATAGCAATATACAGGTTTGACATTACACATAGCATATTCCAATGTGATTTTCAGGAGGGAATTACCAGATAATCACAACATTTTATCAATTTAAAACCATATTCAAATATTTGTATAAGCATCAATGATCATATTGCCCATACAGTAAATGACTCACCTGTGTGTATGAATATTAGAGTCCACAGATAGAAAGATGTAACGGCTCTCATGTTTGTGAACCTCAGAATGAAGCCAGAGAAAGCACTTTAATGATCAGCACAGTTTCAGATGAGGTTAAGTGAAACCAAGAGGAACTGCGTGAGGCTCCACCTTCAGCCATACATTGACAAGACATTCTGTCTAAATCTAATCCCACAGAAGAATTGAACGAATAAAAACAAATAGCGCCAGTGAAGTGTAATTATTAAATCAAGTGAATGTTATTTTTATAGTCAGATTATTAATCAGTTTTCAAAGGCCTCCACTAGAGTATAATAAAATCCCAAAATAAATTGAGCTACTGAAATTCGTCCTAAAACAGCATATAATGAATACAAATAGCAATACAGATCTATAAATGGTATTACATTTAAACCCACAAACAGTGGCCACACTGTATAATGCAAGTGTCCCAAAGATCAGTGTGGTCGTATGGGACCTTTTCTGAACAAAAGCTTAAAGCTATTATTCTTGATTCAAAAAATACAATTGACAATCTAGTTAAATAATCCAATAGGTACACATTTACTTAAATTAAAGCTAAATTGCCAAATTAGCTCGTTGTGAATCCAAATTTCCAACTTCTTCATTAACCATGTTGACAAACTCGAAAATCCTTAAAGTTAGGTACATAGGTAAATATTTCTTTATGCTGTTTTGAAGCCTTTCTTCAAATTTAAATGCAACTAGTATTGTTGTTCACGTAATAGTACAGCTTGAAACTTAGTAATAATTTAAAATATATATATATATATGTAAAAAAAAAATAATTATAGAATGTGTGGGTGCATGTTGATATTTGTGTTGTAAGTGTAGTAGAGGTGTGTGACATGTATGTCAAATGTGTATTGCAGAAGTGTGTGTGTGTGTGTGTGTATATAATTATATATATAGATATATATAATTAGTCATGTATGTACATGTATCATAACAATATCAGTGATGGGTATTTGGTGACAGGGGGTAGGCCCAGATAAGCTGTTCCAGCTTCTGCCAACTCCCTTTTGGGCTATTGCTTTTTTTGGTTCTATGAATCTCTTTTGTATCTTCTATGCCCAAATTAACACCAACTTAAAATTGATTAAAGTAAAAAAAAAAAAATATTATTGCAATATTCAGAAATGTGGTTGTAATCATTGCTTCTTTCAAGTAGGCACTGATGGACTAAACTGTCAAATAATACATCATTCATCTTTTTGCGTTTAGCACAACATTGTTTAATGTTAACTTTGAAATATCTTTATATATGATATCCCTATAAAATCTGATAAGTTACGTATAAGCTGAATTCGTGCATAAGTTAATGTAACAACTTACCGTCTGTGGCAGCTGTGCCCAGGGTTCTTTGCGGGGGAGCATCAAAACTCATTTGCCTTTTGAAGTTATTCAATCCCACTTATGGAAGCAAGGGTCTATGTAATGGCCACTAACTGAGTACAACATCCTTTTATGTTAAGCAATTGAATCAAAAAATTCTCATTAATGCGTGACAAATTTAAACACTAAATTAAAACAGGTGCCTTAAAATACAAATAATGATTAGATACAAAAACTCAAGATTAAATATTAAAAAAAAAACAATATTAAAAAACAGGGCATACATTTAGATCTCTGGAAGAAGTTTAGAAGTATTCTTAGAAAGAGTGAAGTATAAAATATATATATATATTGTTTGGACTTCTTCCAATGCGACACAAAATAGATTTGTTTTCGCAGGACTGTAGTACTTCGCAGCTCCAGTAGAGTGCGCCATTATATGGATCTATGATAACGGAATACGTTTAATAATGTGTAATTTAACGTCACAAACTGATATGTACAAGTTCTGCAGCCCCAGATGATAAAAACCACTGATGTACAGCGTTATAAAATCACTGGAAAAGATTCTTGAGTTGGTATGGCTTCCCAACGCTTTTGAAGTGACGCAAAAAAAAAAAACCACATGGAAGTAAACCAGTTTATTGTAATGTAGGTTAATGTACAAGGTTCACATTTATTCAAACAAATTAATGTAAACATGCCATTATCAATGCTCCATCATTGCATTTCCACCACTTGCTGAGTCTACGTAAAAACAACTGGTTACTCAACAATTGATAGACTTAAACCGGGACCCACTCCTTAAAGGTGCAGCATTCATGGCTCTCAAAAACAGCAAAATTAAAAAGGATTTAAATAATAGGTTGATAAATCACAATGAATCTGATAAAAATATCCACCATCTGCTCATCCTCATGGAGGGTAACTTTTAATGTGAGTTTTGTAAATACAGCATACTCTATCATCTTTTTTGTTATTCATAAACTATTGAACAAACTGCGACACAAAGTTATTGAGCAGTCCAACCTTGTGTTCATCAGTCCCAGGCTAACGAGTGCGTTGTATCCTAGCTTTAGACCCAAAAGTTGTCATAAAGTATAAATTGGTTCTTTAGCATGTCAACTGAACCTGTAGGTTGAAATACACCCATTAAATGCTGTAGTCTTTAACAAAAAAAAAAAATCACCTGTTTTATAAGTTCGGTCAACAGGAAATCGGAAATCTGTTTTGACAACAGTCTAGAGAAAGTGTGGTAGTGTCTACTTTCTCTAGCAGCCAACAGCCTATGTAAATAGTGCAGAGAACATGATTGGCCAACACATTAGTCCAATAAGACTAATTTAGTTTAAGAATGCTTTTGTTAGATAATGTAAACATTAAGCTTTTTGTATTAAGGTTTGGCCTTGGGCAATGCCAATATGCATCAACATACATCTGGAAACGAGTTGGTGCATTTATCTTTTCAATCTGAAAATCTCCATGGAAACAAGCAGATGGTAGGCTGTATACCAGAAATGTTATAGTACACCTTTAATTAAGTTTAAATCCCCATTGCAAAGTAACTAAAGCAGTTTCCTGCCCCAACACAGAACATGTACCATCTGACTTCAATGAGAACAAAGCCAATAATGAACAGCAGGTACTTACTGGGTTTAACTGACCTGTCATGGCAGCCCAGAAGATTTAAAGGCTCAAAACCTGATGGAAGGGCTACAGACAAAAACAAATACAGATCAATGATGACCAAGGATATACTCCGAGTCTGCCGTGTAGTGAGATGGGTCTTATATTAGAATCATGCCTGTACACAATACACCTCCTTGAAAGCAAATTACGGAGTTTCAAACAAAATAAAATGAGAATTATCAGTGCTGGTGTCGTGTTGCAGTCAACACCGTAGACATGACTTCTGCAGCTATCAGGGAAATCCACAACATTGTGTGCGGGAAAGTGAGTTCTGTAGTGCCATGGACATTTGCATGCATCACCTACTTTTATACAATAATGTATTACACAATACATTTAACCAATATGTCTATATAGACAAATTAAATTACAACTACCCAATTGAGCTGTTATCCATTTAAAAAATTTGTAAAAAATGTAGCCAGCATCTTAATTTTGATCATGATGGATGGAATTACCAATTAAAAATATGTGGTGGATTTCCCAATTTAGATGATGGGATTATGCAAGATGAAATATATCAATCTGATGTCCAAAAGAAACACCAGTACTAACCTTAATGACTCACCTTCGTAGGTCAGGACAAACCAGCATTGGATTTCAAGATGGATTTTATTACAACAGATTCATAAAACATTACAAAGGATGAATATACATGTACCCTTTAAACCAAGATTGTTAAAAACAAACCTGAAACAAGAATAAAGCTAGAGGCTGAGTCATGGATTTATAACACTAATAAAAGGAATCATCTTTACCATCAAGACCCTCACCAACCAAAGTTGGGGACGCAAGTCCAACAGCACCTAAGCATGCTGTGAGGGCCTTAATATCTACCAAGGAAAAAAAATATCCATAGTTCACATGAGAAACTTGCCTTTGTTAGAAGATGGTACTCTCATTCTACTCCAGCAGCTTCAAAGGTAATATGAAATTGTTTTAACACACATTTCTATAAACCTGAGTGGAACCTATGAGGGAAAATACATCCAGCAACAGAGCAGTCAGAATCTTGTGTGATGCTTGATAATGTTGCATTAAATGTCCATGTGTCTAACAATAGTTCACCACCACAGGGCTCATAGCTGGTCACATGTAGCTACTGTTGAAAGAGCACTAGGATGAGAAAAGGTGTTAGCCCCAAACCTAATGTGGCAGCAGCTTTGAAGCTTCAGTAGCGTCCGGCCGGTGACATGACAGGTGGCCTCATGCCCAGTGGAGGGCCCCCTTGATATGGGGGAACCATTGGGCCCTGTCCATATGGAGGCATCCCACCAGCCATGTAGCCAGGCATGGCTTGTGGAGGAGCGCCATATTGACCTGTGATGAAAACAATGCGTTTGGGTAAGTTATAACCACATTCGGTGCTTGTGCTAACATCTTACCGTACTAAGATCTTACCATGCATGGGATGCCTCATTCCAGGCTGCTGGGGTATTCCTTGCTGTGGGGGAATCATGCCACCCACAGTTGCCACAGCAGCAGATGCATGAGCTTGTCCTACTCTAGGGACAAGGCGCTGGTAACGGGGCAATTGTGTCCTCATCTCTTCCTGTTCAGAAACACAATATGCATGCTTTTCAGACAAATTGTGCTTCAACACCTCCTGTTCAGACACTAAACACATCCTGGATAAAGAATAGCATTTCATTTTCACAGAAGTTATAACTTAACAGTGGAACAAGAATGTGTTTTGTGCACAGTGCCTTTAGAAAGTATTCATACCCCATGAACTTTTTATCTAATGACCAGACATCCGTCTTGACTTCAACAAATTCATGCTTTGTTTTAACGCCTTGCATTATGAAATTGGCTATTAACCCTAAACATGCAGCCTAAGTCTTTTGCAAACTCCAACATCTTCTCTTCCCAGATTGTATGAAATTATTCTCTAGCCACACAAGATGCTGCCAACACCAGGTTTGACAGTGGGAATTTAGTAATGAGTAGTGTTTTCTACCACACAGTGGTTTGCATCTAGGGCAAATATTTGAATTTAATAATAAAAATGATAATTATTTAATTACCATAACAAAATTCCCACATACGAAATGTTTATGAATATTAATACATATTCCCCCAGCTCAGATGTGGATATCTGCAGCTCCTTCAGGAGTTGATTTGGGTAACTGCTACGTTTTAGTCGGTTTGCAGTTGTACTGCAGTGCTCTCTGTTCTCAGCTGAGAATCTCCCAACTGTGCCTCACAACTTCATCCCTGATCGCTAGTGTTCTTTGGACTTAGATGACAATATTGAAGTCGAAGCACAATCCATCATTTTTGCTTTTCACTTTACATTTTTCAAAAGGAATTAGAAAAAATGTTTAGCAATAAAAAGCCAAAACGTTCAAGGGGTGTCAATACCCCAGCTTGTTCATGAATACCCTAAGGCAATGTATATCATATTCCATGTCAAATATGCATATGTGTTTGTAAATTAGCATTGTCCTTTCATCTTAAAATTGCAATTTATATCAATTGTATAGCATTCCTTACTTACTGTGAAAAGAGAAAAACAAAAAGCTAAAGTGACTTACCAGTGAGATATCCTCATCAGGATGGATCAACTTACTAGTTGCACTCGTGGTGGTTAGCGTGGCAGGCTTACTAGTCACTGTGGCCGGGGGTTTGGCCACAGTGCTGCTTGAGGGATTAGAAGCAGAAGTGGAAGAGGAGGCAGAGACAGAGGGTTGAGTGTAAGCGGGGAACGTGGCTTTGGGAGGGTCAGACGAGGCTGCCGTGGAGGCAGCAATTCCAGGTGCACCTTGCTGAGCCTGTTCAAATGAAACACTGATCTTAGCAAAGTGCTCATGCCAATCAACATATTGGCAAACAAAGCAGACAATGAATGATGTAACATTTTGACCAAAATGCCAAGACACAATGTTAAGAAACAAAAAAAATCTATACTGGAGGCTGACAAAAGATTTAAGCATTTACTGAATAGAAAAGTCCTTGAATCAGTGTCATTAAATGTCCCATTTAAGAGAAGGCTAGATTCACAAAACAGAATCATGCTTCAATAATTGAGACACAAAGATGGCCCTAATGTATTGACAAAAGCACATGCAAGCTTATATTATATGAAAAACTCTTATTCCTGCTCAACCCAAGAGCGCTTTTAAAAAAGGGGGAAATATCAAGAATCACAGGCGCCAAGATCAGAAATAAGCAACATGCAGCTGCCACAATCCCAGTCTGGAGCGTACTTGAGGCATGTTAGGAAATGATGGCTGAGAGGAGGCAGACTGAAGGTCTGCAGGAGATGAAGCTCCAGAGCCCATCTGCAGCATGGTAGAGAGGAGATCACAGCGATGACACAAAATCATCTATATACTGCACTTCCACTAACCCCTTTTCTACTGGCAGCTCTATAGTATCAAGCTCGTTACGTACCCTAATGGAAAAAAGTGCATATAAATTTTTATACCTGAGCTGCACTGGGAAACAAAGGCTTAGTAACTGCAGGTTGCGCTGCTGCAGCCGGCCTGTTTGGAATAACGCCTGCGGTTGCTGGAGTCATGTGGGGCATCCCTGGCCGCGGAGCCATGTGTGGAGGCATTCCTGAGGATAAAGTCATAAGTCAAGACATTTTTCTTTATGTTCATTAATAATTTCAAGTCAGATTGTGCAATATAGAAATCACATATGTCCACTGTCACTGTGTCTCTCGTGCTGCCTACATTTACAGATGTATACATACAACTAACGGTATACATTTTGTGCACTAGAATATAGTTTTTTCTACTTGCTTCTTTACCATGCTAAGGAAATTATTCTCTTGCTTAATTATGCTAAAGTTGGAAATATTATTTTAGTATGCAGTTATTGTTCATGTATCTTGTGTGCTCCTCATCCCCTCTGTTCTGTAACTGGTGATGCACCACTGAAATTTCCCCACTGAGACAAAAAGACCTTTTTTGATCGATTACATGAAAGCCACTGCTATTATTTACCTGGAGGTATTCCAGGCATTCCTGGCATCATGGGAGGCATCATCCCACCCATCGGTATCATGCTGCGCAAAAAAATAAATAAGCAACACATATTACAACCAGTCGACAAGATAATTTTCGGGGGAATTACATACCCAGGCGGTATCCCATGCATACCAGGAGGTATCCCATGCATCATTGGAGGAACACCTGGCATCATAGGAGGCATTCCTGAACAAAAAAATTAAATAGATGCAATTTTGAGTTTGTCTTAAACAATACAACATTATTCTTACCTTGGTATCCTCCATGTGGTAATCCTGGCGCACCAGCAACAGGCATCCCAGGCTGGGCCATGGGAGCAGCGTAACTAGCCTGAGGTTGAACAGTTGTTTGAGCAGAAGGCCCAGGCTCATCGTCGTCATCATCCTCATCAGAGTCATCCTGATTTTTCCTCTTTTGATCTAAAAGCAAATATAAAAAAAATAGTGTCCAAGTGCATTAAAGAGGCAAATTACAAGTCAATTAATGAGACCTTGAGATTTTTGCTCCAATGTTCGCCGTCTTTCTTGCATATCTTTCTCTGGAATTCCCTCCATGCCATAAATCTCCAACTCTATGTCAGTTCTACCAGGAATTGCGTTTGGAACACTGTCTATTGTCTCCTTGTGAACCTGAAACACATTCAAACATAGAAGCTTCATTACTTTACATTCATAGAGGTCCTGCACGTTTCCCTTTATTAATGTATTCTAATTCAATGAAAAAGTAATGCTCAAACATGGGAGAACTTAATGTCTTACCTGCATACAATGGATTGCCAAGCCAGGGCCAGTATATAACTTCTTATGGCAGATGTGGCATTTAAAATGTTTAGCCTTTTGATGCTGAATGAGAATCTTTTCATCATCAAAGTCTCGATTGCAATACCTTGTGGACAATTGGTTAGGGTCCAATACAAGAAACACATCGCAAAAAACTATAATAATAAACAATCTCCACGTCGAGATGTAGCTTAGCATTGTAAGTAACTTCTCAATGAGGTTCGGAATCAAAACTTATCTCCAGGTACAAGTAGAAGCGAATGCCAATTCTCATATAATTCTATGAATAAACTTCAAAAAGTGTGCGTTTTAACCAGTTTACGACGACTAATAAACATGTTTACCTCTATTTCAGGCTCACGGCTGTAGCTTCCGTAAGGCCTCAAAGCTAACGTAGAATTAGCCTAGCCAGAAAAACACACTTTTAAAAGATCGTAAAAGGATACCAGCACCATGGCTTCATTTGCTTCTTCTTTTTACGCCCCATTTTTCAACAATTACCAAAACAACGAAGTACAAGCACAAATGTAGATCGTATTATCTGCCTGATGATAGCATGCTTTCGTCCAGGAATCGTGACAACGCCGAAAATGGCGCTTGGAGAGCAGGAGCGAAACATAAAGGAAGGCCCTGAAAGTCTCGCGAGATCTCACGATGTTGATCTAGAGTGGGATCAAGAGGGTGATACAAACTGTCAAAGTCGTAGAGGGTCCCACAGAAACTCAGGGCTTAGGTGCTTAGCAAAACATCATCATTAGATTATTTTACGCCAACAAGTATTAGATGTACGAAATATCAAAATGGAATCATGGGTATTTTTCGAACTCATCTGCAATAATAGAATATGACCGCTGGATGGCGAAAGTGCAGCAATTTGCACTGTGGATGGGGCCGTAGACAGTTTTCATTGTGATGCCACATAACTCAAATTTGAACAGTGTTTTAAACCCATGGTTCTCTCTGGACCCAGTCAGTTTTCATTGAAAACTACAATTAATAACAGTAATGCAGGTTCCATTCACATCATAATTATAGTACAGTATAATATAGTATAATTATTATAGGAAAACATTATTACCCGTCAGGCCCCACCACACATAAACATGTGTTCGAATCATCTGGATGGGCCACATTTTTGAGCAAGGATTGACCCAATATGTTGATGTTACGGATTTGTCAGGAGTCAGGACCATGTCACCCTAGATTTCCATATTTTGGTAGGTGGTTGGGTGGTGGTTGTAAACCGGAGTGCTTGGAGGAAACCCACCCAGAGAAACATGCATCCTCCACACAGAAATGTTCAGGAAGAATAGAAATAGATTTCTCGTTGAAAACCATCAGGACAAATAAAATTAAAATACTGGCTTGATTATATTGATTACTTTAATAATAATTGCTGGTTTAGAGTTGGTCCTGCAGAGCTTCTGAGACCCACCAGAGGGGCATAGACCCCACTTTGGGAAGCAATTGGGTAATCTTTTCCCCAGGCCTCTTTGTGCAAAGTGATGTGTAAAGTGGAAGACAGCCTATGCATGCAATTGGGATTGAAGGTTTCTAGCCTTTTTGATGTATTGTTGATGAAGGCTTTATGGGTGTGATGCAAAATTAAGTTGTATTAATGCACAAGGAATCTACCAGAATAGTATAATAGAATAATAATTAAGGCTCATACATTGCAATAAGGACACAAAAGATGCAAGTATTTACACAACAATTATATCTTTACCAACATAAACTACATTGTCCCATTGTCCCAATATTGAGAGATCATTTTGAATTACTCATATTACATTCTACAATATTGATTTCATGTTTCATGTTTTTTTTTTTTACAGAAAACTTCTGGTTTTCACAACATGAAAAAAGTAATCAATCCCCTGAGATGTCATAGTTAAATTGTTATCCTCAGCCACACATATTACAGTAATTATGTATTAATTTGGTCCACTAAAATTAAGCGCAAACAGCATGTGAGGAAACAATGTTTGACTCATTTTTTCAATCTAATATAGAGACATAATCCAACTTGAACACAGACAAAAAGACCATTTGTTTTGGTTAGTGAAATATTTATTTTTGCCCTTTTTTTTGGTAAATGTTTTTATTCAGAGAGATATTAATTACTGTTAAGGCCAGAGGAGATCAAGTAATTAGGCCTTTCATATACAAACCATAAATATAGGTTCCACTGTTACAAAATACGTTCTTGCTCTGAAGTATGAATTTCTCACAGTTTAAAAGCTAAAAGGTCTGAATGGCACTTACATATATAGACACTTGAATGAAGTCAACCTTTGGCCAGTTATTAGAGCCAAGTTGCCTACCTATAGAGCAAAATGGAGGCAAATACAAAAAGTTTCTCCAAGCAGAATGCATAACCTATTTAGAATTAGGACTCTCAATATTTTGATCAATTAGTTAAAAAATCACACATTAAAGATTTTTTCTGACATTTTATGTTTTTAACTATGACACAGATGTATTAAACATTTCATTAATTGTAAACTGCATTCATTTTTGAAGCTGGAGAATTACCTGGGGTGTGATTGAGTGAACTTTTATTTAGCCAGGATAATCCTATTTCAGAATCTCCTGAAATAGGAGTCCTGTTGACACAGTTCTTATAGTTTCTCATGTAATTAGCAGACCTCGGTGAAAACAGAAAAGTTTTTTGCGCTCATGCATGTAAAACAGGATTACTGAAGTACAAGAAGCAAAATACAGCACTGTTATACCATGGTTTGAAGCCTAAAACTTGATTTCATATACCTTTATTGTCTCTAAAATCTCCAGATTTCAAAGAAAATGCAAGATACTGAATTGTAAAATGTTCAGTTCGTTCATATTTTGCAGGGTTAAGCTGGAGGTTACACGCAAAAGGAAAGTGTGTCTGCTGTCTTCATTATAGGCACCATTGGATTGTGCACGAGGCAGACAGGATTGTAAGATCCAAGACCTTTGAAAGTACACCACCATGTCGAAGCCACATTGGGAGACAGTACATACATGACATTTCTATCGGCAGAGGCAAAATAACAACATAATAGGGATGTCCTTGATTCAGTTACTTCTCCTAAAAAACATACTTGGTCAGATCTATTTGGCCCTTCCCATAGGTTAACCTCATAGTGTCCACTTGACCACTGGTGGTCTAGTTTGCCTCTATTAAAATTATTGTGAGTCAATACCCAAGGAAGGTTTGCATTATAATTTGTGCTGCTATCTTAAAGATATTTATTTACTGTAAAACTACCACATCATTCATTTTGCTCTAAACAATGAAACCAAAAGATAATTAAATAGTAATAATTCATCAAAAACTTTCACATGTAGCCTTATACCTTTGGTCTAGTTTTGGTTCAATCCAAGCAATACTGTATTAATTTTGTGCTGAAAAAACAAAATAACTTGCTCAAAATACTGTGAAATGTGCTTTGGACATTATTTTCACAAACGCAGGAAAACACTGGTCTATTGGGCATCCATGTTTGTTTCCCGTGTTTATCAACATTTTATAACTGAAGGAGCTTTTTTAACATAGCAAATATGGTTTGCCAAATGAAATTGAAATGCATGTCACCATGTATTTGATAAAAAATCCTCACTAAAGATGTTTGATACTGTGAAATTTATTTTTAATTTTAAACTGAAAGTTGCCGTATGCAATAACCCTTTTGTATTTAGGAACATAAATCATACATACTGAATATTGTGGCCAACGTATTTGTCATTACAGACTTAAGACTACATATACCTGTGGTATTATCCTGCTACAAATACCCTCCTTGTTATGAGTCACGGTGGTGGGGGGAGTCGTACATCGAGTAAGCTGTATGCAAATACATTCCAGAAAACTGCACAAAGCACAAACAAGGTGTAGACGCAGAAGAAGATCCAAAACAAGGACTGCTCCTGGAGTTTTTGTTCATAATTATGGAGGACGACCACTCCCAGAGTCAACCCCACAACCACACCTCCCAGGTGGGCCACAAAGCTTGGATTTGGACATGGAGGAAAAGCTGGTGGGTAAAACCGAAGCCACACTGCTCGACCAAACTCGACACTCACTGTAAACAGACACAGAAATGATATCATAATAAATATCTACTTTCATAACCGTGTGTTGTTATAACAATTAGGATGCTGTTTGAAAACGGATAAACTTACTGCAAACAAGAGCCATTGCCATGCGGAATAACTTAAACTGACACTTCATTCCCGACCAGTTCTAATGAGAAAGAGAATGCCATCATTAGTTCATCTTTGTCCCTCAGTCTGCATTTGACCCATCCTTCAATAGGAGCAGTGGTCACTCGTGCGACCAGGGACACATCTCCAAATGATGAAGTTTGACTAATTCAGGACCTTTGCGGAAACATTTCACTCATGGTGCATGTTTTGGGTGATGGAGGACACGAGAGCGCCTGGAGGAACATGCCATTTCCACACAAAAACCTCAGGACTTGAAACCATAACCTTCTTGATGTGAGGCCTGAGCGTTGCCCACTAAGTCACCCGATGACAAGAACAAGAACAAGACGACTTGTGCCAGAAGGTCACATTTCATCTAGACATACAAAGCTCTTGGACTTGACACGGTCCCCCTCACGCCTCAATTCATGTCAATTTCCACTTCACCGTACATATTCTGACCCCTAATCTCTTCTGTCTGGGAGAAATAATGTGATTTGGTGGTAGAGGGCAGGGCCTTTCTATCTCTACCCGCTTATTATGGTGATTGTGGCGGCAGTGGAGAGATATATTCTAATAACTACACTTATCGCCACATAATAAAAGTTCACCTTGAGCACCTGGCACATACAGCAGCTATTGGACTTTGAACTGTATGAATATGGATTAAAGCTGCAGTGCCTGACTTTCCCGTTTCATAAATACATTTTTGTTTGCGTCAACAGAAAGAGTCTTGCCACAGCTAAACTACATGTGGTTACTGAGCATATAATGTGACTTACCATCACTACATTAGCCAGGTGGGCAGACACAAGCGCGTACACTCCACCAGACGACCCAACCACAGGAGCAGTCATATCGGTGACAGAAACGGCCAGAGAGCCTGAAGGAAAGAGAAGGTTAGTCCCTTGATATTGTCGAGATGCAAACCATGGATGTATTTTGGATGCAAACATATTGTAGCGGCTCTGAATTCATGTTCAGTTGTTCTTGTAGGTAGTTTACAGCACTTACAGGATTAGCAAAGAGTTTGGAGGATGGGCCTTGTTCTGTCATGGTGTGGATTTATGTATTTTTTGTGTTGTTTTGTATTTTCCTTTATTTTGGTTCTGTACAACTACTATGTGAATCTGTCGAATGAGATGTTTCACATATAGGTCCTGGGTTTGCTACTATAGAAATATATAAAAATTAGCATATTTTTGTGGGTATTTTAGGAATATCACTAAATATTTCACTAAGGCCCCGCTTAGAAGATGACGCTGCAAAACGATTATTTTTCAAAAAGTGCTTTGCTGAACCCAAAATAATAAGGAAAAAGCAGAAGCAAAAGCAGCTTGTGTTTCCTTCACTACAGTGTTTGAGCATAGTGACAGCTCATGTATCCTCCTAACAGCAGACAGATTACGCTAAACATAATACCAATGATAATACAGATCACTAATCATTTTGAAAGCGACTTGGCAACGGATGAAGCGGAAGAAAATGGATGGATGGATGGATTTATTTTATTTTGTGTTTCCTCAAACATCTTAAAGCTGGGGTATCTAACTATATTCTTAGCAAATAACAAATGTTGTTTGTTCCAAAAGAAAGAGTCGTGTAAAGATTAAAGGTTGTAAACAAATTCCTTCATCTTATTATGTTATCTTTTGAATCCTTGTAATAAAGAGTCCTGTAAGTCACTATTTGACTCATTGGGCTGGGAGCTGATTGGATGAGTGAGGGTGGTCCTCTCTTTTACACTTTCCTGTCTGAAAAGGATGATCTAAAGATACATGCATGTGAAGCAAACTGTTTGAGCCAGCAACTAGTTTTATGGATTTTATTTCATCGTTTATATTTTTGTGGTTTGAAAGCTTGGTGCCCCAGCTTTAAATGCTTAGTGTATTAAAGCCCAGCGAGTCTTTGGGATCATTGACTGGCCTTTGAATCATTAGTTGACCATTGATCTCTGCCCTGACCCCTTTGATATAACAGCTGAGCCCGACAACGAGATTCACAAAAACAGCATCTCATCTCCATTATGTTCATCTTTGATATCCTCTAAAAGTATACACATATACTTTATATATTCATATGTTGATCTTCAGAAGGTGTAAAAAAGTAATCGTCCAATAAGCAATTTACAGTCACCATAAATTAAAACAATGACGAAATATTTCAGATGTAAATATGTAACCAGTGGAGCCTTTTTTAGTCCAGTTAAACTTTACAGACAATATGGCAAATGTAGAGGTGTTCAATATCATTCTGTTACCTTTAATTTAATTATATTCAGTTGATTACTTTTTGTTGCGAAATACAAATGCTGTGATTTATGGATGCCATTGAAAGCAGAGGATGGGACTGAAGATCCAACATAATAACTAACGTGACTTTGGCCGATGTCCTCCACGCAATCCTAGACAAGCACCTTCCACACAACAGATTGAAGAAAACGCAACAGCAAATCCAGATCCAAACATGAATGGCCACAACGGGACATGTCGGACTCAGGGGTCGATAACTAATTAAAGTGCGAAGGGGAGGGGAGTGCGTCTGTCTGCATTTATACTTCTCCTTTCCCCATTCGATTTCAAAGACAGACAATGACTTCTATGAGTGCATATGATTGAGATTCATAATTTTGTTCATTACATGGATGCAATTGACAGGCCAGTGGTTTATGCAAATGATTAGGAGGGAAAATGGAACAGCGACTAAAAGGGTGGGCAATATTCAGTGTTGGGTAAATTACTTTGCAGATGTAGAATACTGAATAACTGCTTTTAAATGTATTGCACTGAATATTTAAATACATTCATTTGTATAACGTTATAGTTGTAAAAAAGCATCACGTGATTAAAACAACTGTTTGCATCTTTATGCTACGTTTTCTTAATTCTAAAACTCATCAATAAGTATAACATGTTTCTTGCCTGAAAAGCACGATCAAATGTCATAATGTATCCCCCACACGTTTTCTGAATACAGTTACATATTACAAAATAAATATTTAATATACTGTATGTATTATCGGCACACACTCCAGAACACTGGCAATATCAAGAATAATTCATCTCAATGCTTATATTTATTTTAGTATTACTTTTGCCAAAACATGATTTTAAATGTGTTGGATGAGGCTGAATTGCGAGAAATATAAAACTAACAAAAATGCAGGAATTTCAACTGTATGCTTTTCTGTATATGTGTATATACTTAAAGGGAGTCTTTTAAACCCTCTGGTAGTTTGACTATTATGATAAATTAATGGGATATTATACTGTTTAAATATATGTTTTCCCACCTCTAACAGTAGGGCCATTATTTCGATATTTAATGACGTTTATGGACATTTATTTACATTTATAGATCTTGGTTATTTGCCCCGTAAGGATCAATGGCTCCTATGTGTTTGTTATTATTCCCTGTCTGCGAACTGTTTGTTTCTCTGATTCGTTGTTGAGGAGTCAATAACGTTGTGAAGAACGACTGTGAAGAGATTACTGCAGTTGTGATTTCAGGCTATACAGAAAGAAATTTAATTGAATTGGATGTTCTGATGAGGAGCACATACATACAACTCGGTCATGGTTGAAACTGCATAACAAAAAAACAAAACAATAAAACATCAACAACTTTCTTTTCTCTTTCTCCTTTTGATTGAAGACAGATTGAATGACTTTGATCCTCTATTGACAACCCCCGTTTCACCATGTCTGCTATCAAGACACCAGCACTCAGCCCCAACAACTGCACACGCTCCACATTTTTTGAAGAGAATCTGCTCGCGCTGCGCTTGGACACGGAGCCGAATGCATAATGACAACAGCAGAGGGAACAACAGGCCCACGCTGCATAGTGAAGGAGAGGGTGGGGGTGTGCCCTAAGCAGCGGCACAAGTGGATCATGAATATGTATATGAGTGAGTTATACAGGCGCGTGAGAGACAGCCCACCTGCTAACACGCCACACACATAGACCAGGCCAATCCGCGCAGCTCCGTGGACCATCTCCAGAGGGACCCCGACCAAGAGCTGCATGGCCATGTTCAGACTGAGGTGCTCAATCCTGCAACGAAGAATATGTTTCAATTTCTGCCTGTGAATTAAAGTTTTCATTGTACATAATTCAAGACACCATTATTAATCACTAATGGGTTTTGATTACAACCCACTGTGATTTTTCCCAGGTCTCTTTACTTTGTTTAATGTTGCATATACACATACAATTCAGACATACATCTGCTCCTCAACGAGAAAACATCCTCTAACGCACACTTCAATGCACCCAAACAAAATACAAGCACAAAGACGCACTTAAAGATCCCCTTACACAAGATTAAAGACCACAGCCAATGGACCAATTATACTATTTATTAGATAAGTTCTCCAAAAAACATACAGGTCAAGGATAACAAGACGTATACCGTACCAACCACTATTCTAATACAAACACTGATGGTCCTTTCTTTTGCAGCATGTATGTGTGCAGTGGATAGAGAGGGCTTCTATCGGAGAGAAACCAACTTGTTTGCAGCTGTTATAAAAGCCGGGCAGCCATAGAACCTTTACTTTTTGTAGATTGGACAAAAGTCATTGCGGGCAGGAGTAGCACAGGCAATGGATTCTGGTCATTACAGGCATACGCGCTCAATCCAAGAAAACAGACTTAAGAAGATACATAAGAATTCTATATTCCCAAGAAATCCATTTGTCCTCAATTAGAAATGCCCTTGAGAAGAACTAAATCATCTTGAGCTGTCATAACAGAAGTTCAAAAATAGCAAGAGTTCAATACAGCACGACCTTAGACAACAATTTGGTTTATTGATTGGGCTGAAGAGCTTTGTGCAGAAATGCAGAGGCATCTTCAAAACAATGTCACAGTTTTGCTGAACAAATCTCAGTTGGATTCAGTGTAAGATCAGAGTCACTGCGGTGTTGAGCTGTTGACAGGATTAGACGCTTGAGTGTGAATAGAATTGAGAAGCTAAATATACGGCCTCATGAGAGCGCTCATGGAGAGACTGTGTTTCTGTTTCAGCTGTCTATCTGTCTATCCTCATAAATGATACAAATATATGACTTTTTATCAGTAAGTTCTCACAGACTAAAATGGGAGCTGATATTGAGCTGCTTGAGAAGAGATGTAGAAGAGACGAGATTCATTGTTCATTTCACCATATAAAGTGAAATTACCTGTTCAAGTTATGATTATAAACTGTACAATATATGATCAATTATGACAAATCCCGTGTTTTTGCATTTTATAGTTTCATTGTTGACCATTTGTCCAGCCCAAAGGGGAATTTCCACGGAAGAGTTTTCATTACACACCAACACCGTATGTTAAACACCCAGATCTATCCTTTTTTTTCTCAGTGGCATCTGCTCACCTCCAGCTCATTTTAATTCAATTACCATTTTAATAGCTTGTCCGTGGATAACATTTACCTCAGGCTGTGCTTTCCGACTACTTGACATTCATTTATTTTACATATTGATTTTGTATCCTGGCAACAGTGTTGTGGACTTAAGGCACTACCGGAAACCTCTTGATAGATGGTAATATTGAAAACCTGTATGATCAACAGTGATACAAAACATAACCCCAGGATTTCTTTGAACAAATAAGTAAGATTTCATATCATAACAATTTAGATATTTTGAGACACATCGAGCCATGAAGGAGTTTTTGTTAATTTGACTTACCCTGTGTGCATGAAGACATAGCTCAGGTACCTCCAGGCCTGCGCTCTCAGCTGGGGGTGGTACGGCAAAGGGCTCTTGAGGAAAGACGGACTGGACACTTGCAGCACAAGACGCTCAAACTTCAGCCCATAATACATGAAGACTGCTATCTGCCAGAGCGCAAATAGAGAACAAAGTTATAGCTTGGGTACATGACTTATCTTCTTGATATTACAAGTTTGTCCCAACAGAAAGAGTCTTGCAAAAGTGAAATATTGTGAACAAATCAGATCACAACATGCAGGTTTTATCTTTTCAGAATGTTTTTTCAGAGTGTTTTCAGGTTGTATTGTGAACGCCTCGTGGCCAGGACACCATTGAGAAAGAGAACTTTGAATCTAAAAAAAAGTTGAATTAAAAAAAAGTTATCTCTAAAATCTTTTAGAGAATACAGAGCGCCATCATGAGATTGAGATTCAGAATTCACCATAGAGATAACGATTCATTTTAGGAGATTAAGAGATCCTTTATTTGTTCCACAGTGGAGAAATTACAAGTTACAGAACAGTAGGAATGAAGAGCACACAGCACAAGATAAATGAATAATCGCTCTATACTAAAATAGATTAAAATAAACCCTCTAACTATTCTTGGGTTTCATTAACCTGGCCTGTAGGGGGCGAATGAGCAGAGGTGGGACAACTCAGTTTTGTACTGTTGTTGTAACAGTCTTAATCGGGAAAGGGACACTCAATTCTAAGGGAGTACTAAAAAAATATTTCTCAAAAGAGTCTTGATTTTGGGCATTTTTGAAAAAAAAAAACCTGCAGGGGCGCTTATCTGGGAAAGCCTTTATTCACCTTGCCCGTCTCATTCGAGCGATTTTTTCAAAGAGTACTCCTTTATATGAGACCACAGTTGGAACACGCAAGAAACCCTTGTCTTTCTCTCTATTTGCATGGTTGCTACAAGCGTACATACCGCTCAAAAAGACGGCATTTTGACAGCGTTTCTTCTTCTACTATATCTCCGTGAATAAACCCGGCAGACTGCACCGCCAGGATACGTCACGTCCTGTCCCACGTTTGTTATTCGCGCCAATGCCCTGACGTCATATGAAACCCAATAATAGTATAAAAGGAAGCAGTTTAACATCTATCTTTAGCATAATAAGGAAAGACGTCGAAAATCTCCAACTTTAGCGTCAGATTTTGGATTTACAGTATATAGTTTAGCATAATTGAAACCTACCTCTGCTATAGTGATGGCCAGTATGAGCCATGGTGGGGGGCAGTAGGTGTAGCTGTCAAAGTACCACTTGCGGTCCACCTCTCGCGGGAGGGTCTCGTAGGCGACGTGCCGCACCAGCCTTTGGGGCAGTCCCAGTCCCACCTCGTCGCGCAGATTGCACCCCTTCAGCTGCCGCCCGCCCTGAAGGATGGCCCTCCGAAAACTGTTGGAGCGCTTGTTGGTCATCTGCAAGGACACACAAAAATATAACGGCTCTAAATATGTTTTAAAGTTGGGGAGTGGGTGTGTGTTGAGTGTGTTATGATGCTGTTTCTGGACCACACACACCCCGGCTCTGACTGTGGCCCTTTTCTCCAAGCCTCCAGCTGAATGCCTGCTCCATCTCCTAGCAACCACAAAACCCTGCACTTCACCTCTTTCTGTCCACAAACGTCCATTCTCCCATATACAGTTGGCATTATGTCCAGTTTCCTCTGACTCAAAGACAGACACAATACACGGTTCCAGCTCTCATTACTGCAATCCTTTGCCAGTAAATGGGGGTGAGCGTAAAGCAGAGAAAATATTACACATCTTATATTTTCCCAGAGATATGTTTTTGTGTATGGTGTTTTGTTTTGTTTTTCAGTTGCCCATAGGTCTGTTGGGCCCATAGAAAGTGTATAATGATGTTATTAGCCATAAATAAGTGATCTACAGTAGCTTCAACACATTGACTTGTTTGACATGTTAAAGCTGGGGTACATACCCTTTTGGTCTACCCTTTATTGTTCCAACAGAAAGAGATTTTGTGAAAGCATGCCATCTAGAAAACATGCTCTCTTTTGTATACTTGAAAGGATCAACGCCGTGAGTCACTGTTTGGTTATTTGAGCAAGGATCTGATTTTCACTTTCTCTTTTTCACTTTTCAGTTTGAAAAATCTGATCCGAAGATTATGGCCACACTAGTGATTGAACCAAACCGCTTTGCAGGAGCTAGATACATGGGTTTTTACTACAGATACATTTGTGGTTTGAAAGTTAGATACCCAGTCTTCTATACTGAATAATAGTCTGATCACCGGGATCCTTTGGGCTACTCCGTGTAAAATGCTCATTAAATCTCTAAATAGTTGTTTTATTTAAAGCAAGAACCGTGCATAGAAATCATTCATCTAAAACAATATCTGCACCCAATTTAGTTGTAAGTTATTGCAGTAGCAGCAAACACAATCCTTTGCATTTTTAGTTGATTCAAAAGTCTTAATAAAAAGGCCCCCAAACTGCAGAGAGATCACTGTTTAAATACTTCTGAAGCCTTTTTTTTCCAGCTGAATGGTGAAGAATAGTTTCTGCAAATGATTACAAGTTACCATGGTCCCTTTCTGCTGCCATAAAGTCCCTCAAACAAATAAGGCCCAGAGCTCCCCTGAGAAACCGCTGTCCAATAACAGTCTATGCTTTGTGTGAACTGACTGCAATTTCAATCCCTGCTCTCTTTGTCGGACACAAAAGAAAAGTGGCATCCTGTCGGTTTGAAAGGACAGAATAAGGGGAAAATGAGAAAATGGACCTCCTCGCTAACAATAGTACTGTTTAATCAATGACACAAGATAATCAAGGGGCCATTTATAAGCCCCAACTTTAAGCAGTGTGAAAGGATGTTATGGTTTTCTAACATGATTTAAGTCTATAGTGATGTGGAGTGTTCTCCTTGACAACGGTAAAATTAGTTGTGGCTGAGAAATTAACTCTCAATGTCTTTTGCTGTCACTTCCGAGCTTTTAGTGCTACAGCATGCATTGCAGTGGTGATGGTTGAAAAAGAAGCCATCAGTCATTGCAATATAATGTAATATCAGCCACAGACAGCGACTACAATCCCAGTTTCATCACAAGTCACTCATACATCACAAGTTTCTTTGCGGTTACATTTTGTAACTTCATCTTCAGGTTTGGGAGGTTGCAAACTTTTTTCTCAGCGCCTCGCATCCATAAACACGGCATAAGCTGAGTGTGATGTACGAGGAGCGGCTGAGTAAAATAGATAGACAGAGAGTTTTAGATAAAAAGGTGGCAGCAACAAAAGGGAACAGAGGAGACAGGAAGACTGATGGTGAGCTGTGGTTGGAGACGCACTAAAAACACGACCGAGTACTCCATACACCTCCATATGGACGTCGTTGCATTCAAAAGACATAGCATTTAGTTATTTCATCTGTAACCCATGGATATGTTGCGTTCAAGTATCATCAGGACTATTTCTTGGTATTATCATGTGTTATTTAGAAGGAGCTTTGACCTGGATGACCTTAGTTACAAAGTATCCCTGAATAAACTCAATATAACTGGAGTCATAAAGTATTACTGACAGAAGAAGACCATAAACCACGATTTCTGGTTCTAAGAGAAGGCTTTCAATCTCACATTTAGAATTTTGTATTTTTGAGTATAAATACAAACAGGTCATATAATCAATTAGATTATAAATGATCCATTGCATAGTTCTCCAAAGAGTGTCATACCTGGATTGTTGTTAAGGAATGGATAGTTTACATTGTACTAACATTCTTGACATTCCGCCCACATGAGTCTGAGAAGTAAAAGAAGGAAAGATGTTTATCTTTTGGGTGTTGTTTATACGCAGCCAACAAGACTCTTTGTGAAGACTAATGTTCTTACTGTCTCAAAAAAAAGTTTATAACCTGCAAAAAGAAAAGTAAAGCAGATTATTTATGTGTGTGACTGACTCAGAGGCTCACTGCAAGTGTAAACCTCAAGAGCAGTGTAGATCTGTAGTCCAGGTTTAGTCAAGCGGGGAAAAATAAAACCATCCACACAATGATGTTTTGTGCCCTTGTACATTTCCCAGGATAATTTACTTTATGAAGTAATTATGAAATACATCTTTCACATTTTTTGTTTGGTAGTGAAAATGACAATCAAAACCAAATAATAATGAAAGTGCCTGTGACTATCCTTTATCCAGCACAAATAGCTGCAAAACCACAGGATCAGAATGAAAAATACTTTCTTCCAGAACCTTATACTGCTCATTGTTCCCTTGCTGCAGCTGACAAAATGGAGACGCAGGAGGGTTTTGTGGTCACAGTCACAGAGACCACTGTAAGTTCGAGCTTATTGTTACAAGATCCACACGCTCTATACAACACACTGTCCCTGTCGGGTCTGTAAAGCTTCTGTGCCGACCATATTGGTCCGAAAACACGAAGGGCTAGGGAGACAGAGAAATGTGTTTGGAGAGACCTTGGAGTATGAACACAGAATCTAAAAATGGGACAAGGTGAAAATTAACAGGCACATTCATCAACAGTGTCCGGGAGGTGGATACAAGACTTGAAAATATGACAACATGTGAGTTACACCAATTTTAACTGAACAAACTACTAAACACTAGTAAATATACTATGTGATGTTAAGTATGTTAAGTACGGCAGCATTGACCCTCTATGTCTCACCAAGTTGACAAAGTCTTTGTAGCAGATCTTGCCATTGCCATCAGCGAGGGCCAAAAGGACTTCCAGTTTGTGAGGGTCAATCTCAGAGCTGTGAGTGGCCAGTAGGTCCCTGAACCGCTCCGTACTGATGAAGCCAGAATGCCCTGGGTCATACTGCAGTCAAAGACACAGTGCAAAACATGAGTGATTTCAACATGTGTGCCATTCAGCAGTTAAGTACACAAAATTATCACACATGTCACAACAATACTAGTATGATCACATTAGTACGTATTCATTTAGCCACTTCAGGATTAGTTTGCTGCGACAAACGAATAAAAGCAGGCGGCAGAAGCAAGTGTCAAGAAGTCAGAGGTGGAGCAGGTTAAAACCACATTAGGTGAACTTGGAGACACCATGTGCACTGATACAGGGACCTGTTATTTTCTCAGATGTGTTCAAACATCAGAAGAGACGATCTCCTAAAGTCTGCAAACATATATTGCAAACATGTCTTCTTTATGTTTAAGGCCTAGAAGAAGTGTAAAGAAGCTTGTGCTGCTTCATTACCACATGTTTGCGCGGTAGACTTCCGCCTTCGTCAGAGGTGACACGTGATGGTGTGATCAGCTGTTGTTACAGTCCAGGACCATCATCAGAGACAAGAGGGCCTTTACCTTGCTTCACAATCTCCAAAGACCAGTGCGGTGAGGGGCGTGGTCTGTCCAGTAATGACAGCTGATAAGAGACACGTCACACCCTCATCATCGAAGACGGAAGTCTACCGCTCAAACATGTCAGGTAATTAACAAGTAGTGTCTTTACACTCTTTGTCATGTTAACAGAACCTAAAAAGCCTTGTTGATTGTTGCTGTGTGCTGAAAAAATATTCCATTTCCTACTGGTTTTAAGCAACAGGGGGAAAGGATTTTGTCATGAGTAAAATGATTGACTTCATGAGCCATGCCAAAAAGCACAGAACAAGTAAAATGAAACAAAGCTGCCTTGTAAACACCTGCATCTCCAATTACTGCCAATTCATGCATAACAATGTGACATTCACACAAATGAAAAGAGCAAGCCAGGAATCCAAATATAGAGCCGTATACAGCATAGCGGCTGCCATATGCTGTGTTGGCAGGAGCGAGTGTTCAGTGCTCAGCACCATCTCTGCAGACTTACGTATGTCACAGGCTGTTCCACATGAAGCCCATCACAAAAACTGTTAGACCTGTTTCCAAGTTACACAGACTTTCACACTGACAGAAGTCAATCAAACTGCTGGCTCAGGGATTTCCTATAGTTTCAATGTGTGCTGGATTCAGCAATAATTCTCTCATCATGTGTAAAGCAATAAATAAAACTAATAACCTATCTCACATAGATGAATGACATTTACAGTTATTATTTACAATCTTGTAAATACCAACATTATTTTAACATTAAATCAAATTACTCAAATTCTAATTTATTTTTTCAAAGATTCTTATTTAAAGGCACACCGCGGACTTTGTGACCTAAAGAGTTGACACATATGAGTTATTTTATATGAATACTTGGGCCAATATACAGCGCTTGACACTTGCAATGCTCCGAGCGGGGCTGCCCTCTTGAAATACCGCCCATGTAAGTTTCGAGCAGACGGACCGTCTGCCACCAGGTCACGTGACTTGGAAGAAACACTTGCTTTACGGCTACAGGCGCTGATATACTCATGGAGCTAAGGCTTTTGCTACTCATTTTTCACCTGCTCGACTCCTGGTCATGGCTGAGGCAAGGAAAAATTTTAAACCTTCGGAGGAGGCTAAAAAGAGGAAACGCGAAAGGGATCGTGCTGTAAGCTGCATGTCTGTATGAGCGCTGCTCTTCACCTGGTTCCCTGGATGTCATCGACCGCAAAGATGTCATTCCACGCAGCACGAGCTAGACGCAGAACTCCCTCATCCAGGATATAGAAGTCCATGTGTGGTAGATTACTAATGCAGCGGTCTGGAGGCTGACCACAGCAGAGTCTCTCAATATCTGTAGGCATGTCTCTACAGTTTGAACACACACACCAGTGCATGCTGTCTGAATACACACTCAAAAGACACCGGCTGACTGTTTGTTGACTTTTGCGACAGTGCTGAGTTGCTTGTGGCCACTAGGGGCGCTAAACGTGAAAGTTGCAGGTCTAGCGCCCCTAGTGGCCAAGAGTTACACGGTGTGCCTTTAAAGACTCTGTTTTCTGCAGCAAATACAGTATACTTGATTCTGCTTAGCAAACATGTCCAATGTCCAACATTTTTTCCAACACATGCACTCACTCCTCCAGCTGAACTATCCACAGCTACAAAAAGTGTTTGAAGGTCATGGACAAATATTTTTCCAAATGAAAAATCACAAGTCTATAAAATGATCCTCTTATCTCATTGGCTGTCACATCCAAAGATAAAAAGTTGCATATTACTTTCCTAACTTGGCAGCAGCGCTGTCATAGCTGGATGAGCACTGTGAAGTCGACAGGCGAGATCAGGCTGCAGACATACAAAGAACTCCTGGTGGGAATTTCATGCAAGGTTTCCCCTGTACCTCCCGACCAATTAGTCTGGACTTCCTTTACTATGAGGTCAATGTTACTTGGAAACAGCACCAGCGCTGAGCAGCCATACCAACATTATAGTAAATGACTAAGGAGAAAGTTTGAGACAAAAAAGCTTAATGTAAGATAAAAGTTGTACTGAAAATGAGGCATAGTGCATCCTTTAGTTTGTATGAATGAGTAATGCCCGGAAGGTTACAACCACATCTGTTGATTTGCTACAATGTCGACAAAGGATCACATTTTCTTGACTTTGTAGATAATCTTTGGTTCTTTAAGGGTTTGAAATGAATCAAAACAACATACTGAGACCAGTCCAATATGCTAAAGGTGAAGGTGAAGCAGAAAAATATGAAATAGTCTGAACATTTTGCTGTTGAGTGAGCAGAGTCGAAAGGCAAAGCTCTGGATTTATCTCTCAGTCTATGTCCTCACCCTCACCTATGGAGCTTTGGGTACTGACCAAAAGGGCGAGATCACGGATACAAGCCGTCCAAAAGAGTTTCCTCTGCATAGTGGCTGGGCGCTCAGGTGCTCGGTCACATGGGAGGAGCTCGGAGTGGAACTTCTGCTCCTCCACGTGGAGAAGAGCCAGTGTATCAAGGCCAAGGGAAATCCAGCAGATGGGGAGCAGAGGCAGGGGCTGACATTATGGTAATGTAGAGGGCACAAGACCAGACCCTTTGTCTTCAGTCTCATTTAAATAACACTGAATATTTAGGAAGTATGCAGTCCGGGGGTCCGGGAGTTTGTGAAATCCCACACCAGCTCAAGTCAACAACATGATTCATTTTGGGGGTAAACAAAAAACACATACGACCAAACACCTGTACAGTTAACTAAAACAAAAAATGTAGAGATTCCTTCAATATTGGTAGAATGATATTGTTCTTTTCAATTTTTCAATTCCCATTTTTCAATTCCCACCAATGATATGACTGGTGCCTTTTGTTACAAAATACTTGATTGCATAACTATTATTATTTTCCCTTTATAGCCTTTGTTAAAATGTACAGCCAAAGAACACACCTATCTTGTGAATTCCTATTAGAATGATCCCTTTCGTGGGAAAAAGCAAAGCCAAAAAGTAAAGTGTGTTTTCATAAAAACGTGAGATGGTCTGAGAATGCCAATCGACTATTGTGGTAGACTCTAAACATTCCACTTCCTCCCAACATTAGCTCTACATAAAAATAGTGCTTCCACATTGATTTTGGGAAACCAAGGCAAAAAACCTTAGCTGCCCTGCTGACAATAAAATTGTGCCCACAATACATCAGCAGAAAATGGATCCCAATAAACTCTCATTACCACAGACCATTTGGCACAGGACATCCTGAGATGCTGTCACAGAAAGTTGGTGTTTGCAGTGGACAGAAGAAATTTAAAGAAGGACAATTGAGACCACGTCCAATATATTCATACTCATATCTGCCTTATCCTCAAATACAGAACTGATGCTGAATACTGATTTGAACGACCCTGAAGTCATCAATCAGCGGTGTGTCATATGGGACCAGTCTCTGGGCCGTTTGCCTCCATCCACTTTATCCTCTAATCACAGGTTGTCATGTGATGCAGGTGAAGAGGAGCGCAGAGGTACAGCGTGTCACCGGATACAAACTCAAGGTAATAAGTACTGATAACGTGGACTAGACTGAAGCAACTGTGACTGTGGTGAATCCGTCTGCAACAAGGCGTGACCGGAATGGCTACAAGAAGTGACTGACGATGACAGAGAAAGTTGTTTCCAAGAGCATGGTGCATGAGTACAGAGCACCACTCTCATGCACGGTGGCAGACTGGAAAGCACTTCAGCAAGAAAGTCCTGGGTTCAAATCCCGGTCCGGTTTCCCCAACCACTAAAAACATGCTCAAAAGGTGTGAATGTAATGAGTGAGTGAATGGATGGTGTTGATTGAGGGCTTTGATGCACCAGTGTGTTCGCCGTCTCACTTCCGTCATCACCGTGTGTGGAGAGAACGAGACAATATCTGAACATTGTACATTGCTTTGGGAGACCTTGGTCTGTAAAAATGTGCTATATGAATAAAGGGAACATACTTACTCACCACTCATGAAGTAATCAAGTATTTTCAATAATCAGCAGCTATTTTAGTCATCAATTAGACGACAAATTCTCTTTCTACAAACGTTGACTCTACAACTTCCAGAGCAGTCAAAAGTTTGACGGTGTGATTAGTGTAATTACCTTTAGGGTCTTCTATCTATATGTAGTTTATTTCTATTTCATTATTTGTATCTGAATCTATTTCATTATTATTATCTGATTTTTTTTCATTGAATGTTTTTAAATCCAAATTGAAAGCACAGGAGACGTTGAAATGTGTTTTGATAATGTGTTTTTTAATGAAATTAGAGATGTGTCATTTTTTATAATCTGTAATTGTATGTAGTAAGTAAGTAAGTAATCTTCATTTATATACCGCCTTTTCACTGCACATCGGAGTCTCAAAGCGGTTTACAATTGTTATTTTTTGGGACTGGGGGTCGCCAGTACAGGAGGCACAGACCTATTGTACATATTTTTAGTGGTAGGGGAAACCGGAGCACCCGGAGGAAACCTACGCAG